TTCCACTTACTCTCTCGAATAAGAAATAAAAAAAAAAAGAAAGAAAGAGATAAAAGGGGTGGTAACCCTCCTTTTCCTATCATCCATTCGACTATTCCTCCAACGATGTACTTCGTATTTTGCTCGTAAATTTTTCTCTCTCTCTCTCTCTCTCTCTCTCTCTCTCTCTTTCGTAGCATGCAACAGCAGCAGCAGCAGCAAGCTAACGAAATCAACGGAAGGGTTTGAAAACTCCTCTAAAGGATCACCGCGCATTAAACGTTTTCATTTCGTGGGCTCTTCTCCCAGTACGAAGAAAAGTATGTATGTTGTGTCATAGTAATGGTAGGGTAGTAGAAGAGAAGTTGAAAGGAAGAAGAGATGGGATACGAGGGAATGAAAGAAGCAGAGGAGGAAAGAAAAATGTAAAAGAAGGAGAGAGAGAGTAAAAAGGGTCGCGATGGCGTCCTGGGATTCGCAGCTGATTGGCCGATGCCAAGGGTACGCATTTTTAGCCACCCTTCGGATCTGCCCTCATTGTCATTTTAATTTCAATCCCCTCGGGACAACTCACTCTCTCTCTCTTTCTCTCTCTTTCTTCCTCTCGCGAAAGGGACAAATCGTGGTATATATGATGAGAGAGAGAGAGAGAGAGATAGAGGGGGGGCAGGGGAGAGGAGGGGAGGGATTGAGACGAGGCTTCGATTCCATAGGATGTAAACGCACCCTTCGCGGAGATTGCTTCGTCGTTGAAACTGGTTACGACGGAAACATCTAACGGGTGTACATCTTCTTCCATTTTATCCTTCAATACTTAACACGTTCGCGGAAACAGAAACATCGTTTTAGGGAGGAAAAATAAAGTGACAGTCAGTCATTTTATTTCTTAAATTGGTTGTGATATTATCTCGAAAATTAGAATGAAAAACACACATTTTATAAGGGCAGTCAGATTATCATATATATTAAATAATCAGTTAATCATTACCTTTATAGGTATAATTATTACAAAAACTTAAGGTTGTATCTCAAATAAAATTCTAAATAATTGGCTTCATGTCATTTTACATCAGAATGAAAATGAATGCTATAATAGCTAGCATTTACGTTCACGAAGGTGTTAACAAATTTCTGTCCATTTGTTGTTTTTCAAGATTTTGATTAATTATCGAACGATTCGTTGTATTCATCTTGGCATATCTTTTCATTTCTTTATTCTTCAAGTAAGAACAAAAATGTCTATGATCCGGTCAACCAACAACACCAACCCTGACGCAATTTACCTTGTAATATTTTTATCTCCCTCAATCTCTCGAGATATTAATTATAAGATAAGATAGAAAAGAAAAAAATGGTCTACACACCTCACGTTCAGTTTAAGGGGTTTTTCTCTTTATATATTCTTATCTGAAGTTTTTCTTTTTTTTTTTTTTTTTTTTTTTTACTTTTTGAAAAGGGACGCACGCAAATATTTCGCGATTTTCTTTCAAAAATTAAACGAAATAAAATAAAAAAAAAAAATAAGATCATTGGAAAAATATATAATAACATCGGTTTGTAATTATAAACAATGTATACCTAACATTAATATAATCGCTTATAAATAAATGAAAGAAAATCTTGCGAACAAACTGTTGCATTCAAAAATACTAATCTTCATTTTGTCTAAATCTAAGAAATACTACATCTAATCAGGATTCACCGAAACAAATCGAAATCTTTATGTAATAAAAATCAATAAGTTAGCCAAAAAAAAAAGAAGTGAAAAGAACGAAAGAAAAAAAAAAAAAAAGAAGGACTAGTACCGAAAAACTAAACTAAACTAAACTAAATCTCGATCTCGATCGTCTCCGATCGATATCTCGGTTCAAGTCGCGGTTTCTCCTATTCTTTAGAAAAAGGAGAAAAAAAACAACATGTATAAAAAAAAGGTAGGTAGGTAGGGTAGGTATAGGACAATGAGCTAAGAAGAATTAAGAGCTGCCGACAGAGTCGCAGAGCACGCGTGAGAAAAGACCGACAGAGAAAGATAGATAAACGTCTATCTTCAAAAGAAAGAGAGAGAGAACATATCATATACAAAACGCGAGGGGGGTGGGGTAGGGGGGGGGGTAGAAACGAAAACGATTCCGTCGTCGGCACGTGTACGCGGTTAAATAATAAAAAGGCTTGCCGCCCGCGCGTTTTGCTAGCGAAGTTTCCTCCACCCCCACCCCCTCCTCCTCCTCCTCCTCATCCAGCTCCAGTTCCAGCTTCTCCAACAAGGTGTGCGCGCGCGCACTACTTGCGGGATTTCAAAAGCAGAACCGGCTGTCGCGATACGGATCTGACCAATCATAAAAGCCGCATAATGGCCACTTATTCATCCATCCAAAGGCACCAAACAAAAGGGGAAATTAGTCAGGTTCGTTATGCTTATTAATTGACTGACGTTTCCGTCATATTATTCTCCAAGGATGAATCGAGAGCTCCGTTCTCTGCCCTTCGAGACGGCACTACCTACCTACCTACCTACCTACCGCCCTTTTCCAAACTACCACCCCCCGTTCCCTGCCTGGTTGCTTGCTTGCTTGCTTGCTTGCTTCCTCCCTTTCCCTCCATTGCTCCTATGTGACCTTATTATTCTTTCTTTTTTATTTTTTTTTTTCCTCTCTTTATCCTATTTTTTCTTTTCTTTCTTTTGTATTTTATAAAGAAGAAGTCATCAATCAATCAATTCTTTAATTTTGTTAGAATCCTTTTTTTTCTTTTGTTTTGTTTTGTTTTGTTTATTATTAAGAGGATTCTTCAGAAATATTGTTTATTTGTCGTGGTATATGTTGGTTGCATTAAATCTGAATTTATTTGGCACCATTTTTCATTATAAAATGGCGTCGAATAATCAGAGGGATGATTATATATATATATGATTATAAATTTGATAATTGACCATAACGTATCTCTTTCTCTTTTTCTTCTTCTTCTTCTTCTTCTTATCAATTGATTGTATTTAAGAGCAAGCCTTTAACTTTAACAAACAATCTTCTCCTACTCTCGCTGACGTTAATTCTCGAACGGAGGGATGAAAAATAAAAGAGGGCGTGGTAGCTATTCTGCAGCTGGGCAGTACACATAAACACATACAAAGATTCTTTTTAAGGTTTATACATGCATATATATATATATATATATGTACGGATTTCTATCTAGAGAGGTAAGTTATATTGCCAAGGGGATGATACGATGCATGGGGGTGCCGAAACGCTTTCATTACACGGCTTCCCGAGGGATAATATTCTCTGCTATATCTCTGTGGCCGTCCCTAGGGGGGTGAAATTCCGCGCCATCAATCTTCCCATATATATAGTAGGAGATGCAACCCTTCGTTTTAGGGTTTACTCCCTTACCAGAAAACCACCCTCACACATGTACCAATCCCTTTTCGAAGTGAACCGAAATCATGGTGGAGAATTGCCACGAGTTCTTTCCAAGAGAAAATCGTTCGTTCGCATCCAACAAAATGGCCCCTTACAAAATATTCTATTATTTGTAACAGAGAGAATATATTCACATTGTCAATCTTCTGTAATTATCTCTTGTAAAATTATTTTCTAATTTTTTTCCCCCTCTCTCTCTCTCTTTTCTTTCTCACTTTTGTGCAGTTTATTTGAAGTGAAAAAAGTCCCTTCTTTCTTTTTTTTTTTTTTTTAATGAAAACATACCGTTAAATTGCAATTAGTGTTGCCATTAATTCGATTTTTTTCTTGAAAAAGTAACTTATGCCACTTTCAAAATAAACGGCTCATTTAAGAAATAGAAACGAAGGAGAGAAATGGAAATACACATTTATTTAACAAAAAAATACAAAGTGCGAGTCTCTTCTCGTACAAATTTCAAGGTACAGAAGAAGGGTAACGTGTTACAAGAACGTCAACGTCGTCGTCGTCGTCGTCGTCTTTGCAAAGAACTCAACGTTTCTCTGGTTTGTTTTTACTTTTCTTCTTTTTTTGTTCTTTTTTATTTTTTTTTTTTTTTTTTTTTTTACGAGTCGGTGCTTTTTGAAGATCCTATTTTTTGGTTTTTAAATTTTTATTTGCATTATATTGCACGATCGTTTGCTCGTACGCATTGCGATTAGTATTTAATACGCACATTGTATATAAGAAAGGGTCCTTTTCTCGTATCAGATGNGTACAAATTTCAAGGTACAGAAGAAGGGTAACGTGTTACAAGAACGTCAACGTCGTCGTCGTCGTCGTCGTCTTTGCAAAGAACTCAACGTTTCTTTGGTTTTTTTTTTTTTTTTTTCTTTTTTTTTTTTTTTTTATTTTTTTTTTTTTTTTTTTTTCTACGAGTCGGTGCCCTTTGAAGATCCTATATATGCTTCGCCCAACTCGTCGTCGCATTATATTGCACGATCGTTTGCTCGTACGCATTGCGATTAGTATTTAATACGCACATTGTATATAAGAAAGGGTCCTTTTCTCGTATCAGATGTTCCGGGGCCTCAAGACCAGTTATTAGGCTTCTGACAGGCCCATAATCCGTTTCTATTATGGAGGAATGAAAAATATAATATCTATTAGCGAAGATCCTTTCAATTTTGTTCTTATATATATATATATATTATGCCAAAGGGAATTTTTCTTCGTTTGTTCTCCTCTTTACTTGCTGCTTGCTTGCACCTTTTTCTATTTCTCTTTCTATATACTTTTCTTCTTTATTTTCTTAATATTAACTTTCCTTTTTTCTATCCTATTCAATGTTATTTTTTATTGCAACTTTTATTTCTCTCACTTACTTTTCCTATTTCGTATTTATTTTTCTTTTTTTGTTTTCTTTTTGTTTTCCTTTTCTCTTGTCCTAATTTAAACGATTGAATTAAAATTTTTTTATTGACATTTTTGTGATCATATAGAATTAATAAATAAATCTAATGAAAAGTAACACATAAATCATATATTAAAGAGAGAAATGTAATATAATAAATATATATTTATATGAAAAATTCTACAATACACTCATTTTTGTTTCTGTTATAGAGGATATTGAAAGGGCTTTCGATGACCTCATGCGTCAATCACGTGAGTACTTATTTTACTTGCTACTTAATTTTATTAACATTTATGTAAAAAAAAAAAAAAAAAAAAAGACAAGCACTTTTCGATTACGGTCTATTTTCTCTTATTTTTTTTTTTTTATTTTCCTTTCTTCTTCTTTTTTTTTTTTTTTCTTCATACCGTTCCCAATTCGAAAACATTATACCTCGGAAAATGGGTGAATAGTCTCGAATTTCCAGATCCCTGCGTTCATTGTGCTTAGTCGATAGTCGAAAGGCGGCGAACGGGCAAATATTCTATGTAACATATTTTCTCGTTCATTCGAGCGCGAAAACTTCTATCTATCTACTCCATATCTCTCTTTATCTTTCTCTCTCTCTCTCCCACATTATTATTATTATTATTATTATTACATCTAATATATAACGAAAATCTTTCTCTCCTGAACCATCTGTCGATCTTCTCACATCTAATCGTTCCTTTAAAAAGAACAAATTCGACTAACCATGTGAACATTGCAAGATATCTAAACAAATAAACGAAAAATATGGTATAGGTGGTGGTATTCAATAGAAAGCAATTTCGAAGCGTAAGGAGAAAGGAAACAAAAATTAAAAAAAAAAAAAGAGAGAGAGAGAGAGTGAGAGAGGTAGGTATAATATAGAGAAGTTATAGCTATAAGCATAGAGAGAGAGAGAGAGAGAGATAGGTATAGTATACAACTCGTATAGAGTTGAAAAGCAAAAGGGGTAAGTTCGCGTAGACACCCCCGGCATCATCAGTACAAGTGGGAGGAAAAGAGGGGTGAGTAATGTCAGGGAAATGCAGCTAACGAAGTTTACGAAGACACTTAACGGAATTACGCCCTTGCTGCTTCTCGTGTGTCCTCTCCATCCTCTCCGGTCCGTCCTGCCTCCCACCCTCCTCTACCCACCTCATTCCTCTTTTCATCGAGAGCAGGAGGTCGCGTTAATTACCATCGAAGGCAAGAAGCCGGAGAAAATGGTGCCGAGAGAAAGAGAGAGAGATATATATATATATTCACCGAAGAGAGTCGAGTTCTCGTTGAAAGGTCGCTGAAACGAGCGAGAGAGAGAGAATGAGAGAGAATGAGAGAGAGAGAACGCGACTGAAAGAGAAGAGAAGAATAAATGGAGGGGATGAGAGAACGTTGCTTTGCGTCGAAGAAGGGTGTTATTGACATGGTGGGTGTCGCGTCGTCGGCCATCTTGGCCTGCCTCGTTCAACCTCATCCTCTCTCTCTCTCTCTGTCTCTCTCTCTTTGCCATTTACCCTACACACGTTCAGGGAGAGAGAGATAGAAGATCCTTGTGTCCCCTTGTCGAGTGACATTCGGAATATGCCCAGCCTAACCTGGCCAGCAGACGCCCTGGGCCACCCTTTTCGACCAACCCTAGCGACGAGCTCCGTGGGTCCCGGGATTGCTTGTCGCCATGACGACCGAACCAGAGTCCAACCCCCGCAACCAACGCTTCCCTCAACTCTCTCTCTCTTTCTCGTTCTCTTCTGCTCTCTGTATATCTGTCTATCTATACGTCTCTCCGTCTCTTTCTCTCTCTCTCTCTCTCTCTCTCTCTTACACATTTTATTCTCCACCCGTTGCCTTTTCTCCCCCTTTTGTCACAGTCGCTTGCTGTTATTTCTATCGTTCTCTCTCTCTCTTTCTATCTATATATATAATCTCTGTTTTTTACTATCTTGGAAGTTCATGTTAACGTCAACAAGGTCGGAATACGATTCCAAGCTCGTGTTAAAAACACACCACGCGATTGGCGTGCAGCTTTGTGTGCTCGTGACGATTCTATTCTATGCGTGTACGCATGTTCTATGTGTGGGTGGGTGTATGGACGGTTGTATGGATCCACCAAGTGATGATGTTCTCTCCCTCTCTCTCTCTCTCTCTCTCTCTTTCTCTATTTCCAGCTTTTTTTTTCATTCTCTATTTTTTTTTTTCTTTCTACCTTTCTATTACTCTACACACATCGGTGCAGCAGCAGCTCATTACCTTTTCTTCTCGGGCTCTTTCTAATCTACGTTTCGAAGTGTACGTCTCTCTCCCCTTCTCTCTTTCTCTCTCTCTCTCTCTCTCTCTCTCTCTCTCTCTCTCTCTCTCTCTATAGTTCTGTTCGTTTAGATCGGTCTTCTATCTCTCAATTCTATGCTAATCGAGACAACGAAAATGAGAATACTGTGTGTGAATTTAGAAAGTGAATCTTTTTCTGTTGTTTACAGCTGGGTTTTCTTTTTCTCTCTCTCTCTCTCTCTCTCTCTCTATTTCTATTGGACTTTTTTCCTTCCTTTTTGGTTTTTTTTTTTTTTTATTTTTCGTTTTCTCATACGCGAAAATATATTAATATAAATATATATTTATCTTTTTTCTAATTATATATTAAAATAAAAGTTAATCATACCAAAATTTGTTAGAATGCTTTAATAAATCTTACAAAAGATCCTAAATACTTGTTTTCTTACGATTTATTGTAGAAATGTTTTTCTTTAAAATAGTAAATATAAATATATAGATAATGAAGAGAGAGAAAGAGAGAGAGAGTGAGAGAATATTTGAAGTAGGCAATCTTAAGGATGAATCCTTAGGTGAAAAAAGGATTGCATTTACTTTAGAGTGCTTTCGTTTAATCAACAAAACCTTTTAATGGCTGTTTCTCGCAGACGATTCATTACTTTGATTGATCTCTTCTTCTCTTTCTTTCTCTCTTTCTTTCTTTCGTTCTCTCTTTCTTTCTCTCTCTCTCTCTCTTTTATTATCTATCATTTCTTCCGAAAACAAAAGATAAAAAAGCCTTCACGTTAATTATCGAATCGATAGAAAAAAAAATAAGAATACAAAAAGATTTATATATATATATATATATTTTATATTTATCATTGAATTTTAATTGCAATTTATATAATAAATATCAATTATATGCACAAACATGTGTGCGTTCATTTTTATATTAAAAAAAAAAACAAAAGAATGATCATCGATATTTCGATAAAGGAAAAAGAAGAGAAGAAGAAAAGAAAAAAAAAATAATAATAAATCGCGTGTTCATTATTAATCTCATTGAATAATTCTCTTCCTCTCCGTTCTATTTTTTTTGTTCTTTTTTTTTTGTTCTCATCGTTCGAATAATCACCTTAGGAATTAGAGAAAATTAGAGAAAGGGACGAACGTTCGTGTTGTCATTTCTCTCTTTCTCTGTCTATTTGTCTGTCTGTATGCCTGTGTTCTCTCCTCATTTTATGGCTTTTGTCTCCGAGTAAAAAGCTCGTTCGGCCGCCGAAAGCCCGCAATCTCCGCCAATTAGTCGACGATTTCGTAAATCGAGTCGTAGCCGCGAATTAATTGGTCCTCGACTTTCTTTGCCAGCCCTCACTCTTATCTCTCCAACCCCTCTTTAACTTTCCTCCTTTCTTGCGAGCTTGCGAACTACTCGAAACACTCATTCGTACCAACCACCGAACGAACCCTCAAATGACAAAATATATTCCGATAGCAATCAACCCTCCGATATAAATCACGAATCCCACAAATTCTCTGACACGATGAGTGCATACGAGAAAAAATAACCTCTCTCTCTCTCTCTCTCTATCTATTACTTTTTCATTTTCTATATTTTTCTTCTTTTTTTCTTTTTTTTGTAAAATATATATCTTATTTCGATCTACGTATGTAATTAATGTAATAATATATGTTCGTATGCGTATATTATATTTTATTAAGTACCTTGAAATTAAAAAGTCTCTCTCCTCTCCCTTGCAGTCCCTTATATATAATGCAATATGTAAATTCTATTTCATTCTATCTTAAATCTATTTCTTACGCTTTTTATAACTCCTTTTAACCTACGATTTACTTCCGAAAAATTTGGGAAATATTATTCGATAGTGATTCTATTATGTCGATCCTATAATCAACACGTAACATTGTTTTATTTCCGCGTTATTTATTTTGTTGAATAATCTTCATCGTACTACGGGCTATTCCCGTAGTTGTAAGTTAAGGTGGTTAACAAGTAGACTATTACATATTTTCTTACGGATTTGGCAACTTTTAAATATTTGTTTATATATAATTTTCTTTTTAAACTTGTTACACATACATCGTTTAATTTCCACAAAACAATTCTTCCTTTGTGATAATGAAAATTTATTAATTATTTTTCTATCTCTTTCTTTCTTTTTTTTCTTTTTGATTATCCTTTTTGTTTATATATTCATTCGCGTGAATTTTTAACTTAACGGTGTGCGTTTTCATAGTTCCTTTGACTCCAATGACGAAAATATATTTAACCTGAAACATCCCTTTCAACATTTCGAGCTTAACCACCCTTCCTCCACCTCCTCATCCTCCTCCTCCTCTTGCACTCCCGATCTCCGCGTAATCGCTCTCACGCGTCACGTTAAAAGTTTACGTTTAACGTTCGACGATTAAATAAACTCTAACGTTTTAATCAAAGGGATGATGATACACCAACCACGATTCAATTCTCGATCGTATTTAACTTTTTTTTTTCTAACTTATTCGTTGTGATCGTTCGAAAACATTTGAAAAATTTGTACAAAACACAAATCAATTTTAACGAATTATTCAATTATATATTTTAATATTCCTGTCATTATATTACAAAAAATATTACAAAAATAATAATAAATTGTGTATATATATATATATAGAATATGGTATACTAATGAAAATAATATTAAACAATAGTTTCTTTCTATTTCATTTCTTATCGATATACGTACGTAAGAGTATAGAAAGATGGAAAAATAAAAAGAAAAAGAGAAAGAGAAAGAAAGAAAGAAAGAATAAAATATAAAGATAAGAATTATCTTCGAAGAAAATTAATCAACGAGAACGTATTCCCGTTTCCTTATCTTAATTATCATTTTTAAATATAACGCGTGATCGTACGATATATCTAACATTTCATCGTCCATTCAGAAACACACAAGGTCCGAGTATGAATGAACTCGTTTCACGTCGATCATTCTATTTCTCTCTCTCTCTCTCTCTCTCTATCTCGTTCGTTCCACTCTCATTCACAACGCGCATATGCTGAATAAACAAACAGTCGATTGGCAAGCATAAAACCACAACGATTCTTTCTTTTTCTCCTTACTCCTTTACCTACTCTCTCTCTCTCTCTCTCTCTCTCTCTCTCTCTCTCTCTCTCTCTCTCTCTTTTTCTTACCTTTTTTCTTTCTTTTTTGATTACGTCTTATCAAAGATAAAAAATTCATCGTGTGATTGAAAATATATTCTCTGTGCCAATTGGAAATCTTCGTATGAGAAAGATAGAGATAAAGTGGATACGAGTTAGACCACCATGATGTGTTTCCGGAATTATAGTAATCGATGACACAGTCGAAGTTCTGTCTACGTACAGCTGTGAATTAAACAACAGAGATTTGTCTCTTTCTTTATACAAAATATCATTTTTTATTCAATCGTATCTTGTTCTAGTTTTTGTCTTGGATAATTTAAAAAAAAAAAAAACTAATACATTCTAGTGGATATTTTGAAAATGTGTGTTAACACTGTTTCGCGGACAGAAACTCTAAATTTCAGGGAGGAAAAAAAAAGTGTGACGAATCATTTTATTTTTTTAAATTAGTTGTGATATCGAAAATTTCAATTAAAAAACACACACATTTTATATGGGCAGTCAGATTATCATATATATTAAATAATCAGTTAGTCATATACCTTTAGAGATATAAAATAATTACAAACAAAACTTAAGGTTATATATATATATATAAAATAAAATTCAAAATAATTGGCTTTACAATTTTGGAATGGTAAAAAATATAAAATTTTCATGTAATTTTACATCGCAATGAAAATGAATGCTATTATAGCATTCACGTTTTTCGCGAACGTGTTTAACACGTAGATAAAGACAGATGTACAATATACTCAAAGAAAAAAGATATATATATAGAACAACATAGTATAGGATCGCGTATTCGTTCTCGAAAGATGCTGCTTTTCATCAGAAGAACCCATAAGGGGGTCTGATTGGTGAAGGGAGAAGGACGAGAAGATGGAGGGCTCGAGGGTGAGGCTAAGACAGGAGAAGCGGGACGGGGGCCAATCAGAGAGCCACGGACTTGGAGGATGTCGTTGCCTGGCAACGAAACACACCCCAACACCCGAGGGGAGAAAACCCCTGAGGCCGTTCTCGTTCTCTTTCTCTTCTCCCCCTTTCTCTCTCTCTCTTTCTCTTTCGCGTAGCATCGATACAGTCGGTGCCGAAAGTTATCGCACCCTTGAGAACCAGCCAGCCAGCCAGCCGCCCTTTCGACCCTGCCGTGCGGATTTTCTCTTTTGCGCAAGCGGATGCTCATGGACAATTAAGCCACCACTGACGATGAGCCCAACAAGGGGAAGTTGAAAGTGAGAAGAGAAGGAAAAGATAAAGATAGATATATATATATATATATATATATATGCAACTTTATATTTGTCTCTCTCCTTTTTTTATTTTCTAAACACTTTTTATTTCACTCAATTAGTTGTTTCTCTCATCTCGTCTCGAAAAATAAAATTATTAATAAATAAGTATCGTAGGGAATTTGGATATTCAAAAGAACTAGAACTTTGTCTTGATTAATTGGACATTTCGTCCCCTTATTGGGATTTCTTCAGCAACTTAATCTCTAAAGTTCAGCGTCTTTTTTATTTAAATTACATTCTTGTAATATTCAAAAAACTACACATTCTAAACTTCGTTATCACTTGATCCGTTATATTTCAACACTCAAACAAAACTTTTTATTACTTTTTCTTTTCTTTTTTTTTTTATACTTTCAATAACATTCTTAACTATAACAATAAGATTAAATTAATGTTCTTTTTGTTTACCCTAATTATTTTTGAACGAACATAATAAAACGTTCGGTATACCGAATGTGAGTTTAAGATATGTGCGAATAAAAGTGATTTATATATCATATTTCATAATTGTATGTATATATGTTTACCGTGAAAGAACGAAATTGGATAATGTCAAGATTTCACGTGGACGCTTATTGTCGACACGTAACAAATACGTTAATGAAAGACCGAATATTTAAGTTTAATTTTTATACATTAATATTTTAGGACATACACCAAACGACTATGTGAATCTACACATTCTCCAATCTCGGTTTTTCACGGTAACATATATATATAACATTATATAACATATATCTTCTTTCATTTTTTCTTTCTCTTATTTATTATTATTTAAACCCTCGCTAAGAGAGATCCGAATAGAAATGAAATATTATGATCTCTCTCTCTCTCTCTCTCTCTCTTTCTCTCGATTACCATGATCCCGCCTGGCAAATAGAATTTTTCTTTGGGTATCATCTTTTTAATCGCATTTTCAAATATCCTTTTTAAAACTCAACTCATTTATCGAAATCCGATTAAACTCTCATATTACTAATACATACATATCAAGCCAATTGAAGGATAGCAATTGTCATTGAAGAACGATCATTCCTATTTTTCTGACTCCTTAAATCGTAGGGAAAGGATTAAGACGCTACTTCTTCATCTTTTGAATTGTTCCTTTTTTTCTTTTTTTCTTTCTTTCTTTCTTTTTGTTATCTCTCCTTTTCAATCCTTCCTTCTCGAGTAGACCTTTAGACCCCTTCTATATATATATATATTTCTATTCCGTACGTTTTCTCTTTCTTTTTTCACCAACAAGAGGATTAAATCGTTCTATTGGCCTTTACCAATAGGATTCCCTGATCCTTTCACGTGCTAACAAGAGCACCGATCACTGTTTTGACATTCGTTTTTTGCTTTTCCTTTCACTCAATCTTTTTCGTATAAAAAGAAGGCTACGTAAAAAAAGCCAAAAATATTTTTATTTTATTTCTATATAAAAAAAAAATAAAATAAGCCAACTAACAAATCCTTTTTTCAAGTATATTATATGACGAATATGTTAAAAGTATGAAATGATCATATTTTTATTCATTTATTTTATAGAAACAGTTGGTAAGGAGAAAGATGATAATAAGAATGAATGTTGTGGACAAGATAACAAAGGTATTTCATATTGAAATTATTTAAAACCATTTAAAATCCACAATACGTTTTATATATCAATTTTTGATAGGTTCTTCTACGTCCGATCCAACAAACCTTACGAGTACTAACAAATTAAATGAACCTTATTACGAAAGTATGATTAACTTGTGCGATGTTTTTAGCGATAAAGAGTAAATATAATAATATGTACTTTTAATATATATGTATATATATATGTAGGCGATATAATGCATGCGAGAGATTGAAATGTTGATTGAGATTTTATTTATTTAAAGGGGAAAATACAAAACGATACCAAAAATTTTTTATACGACCAGAACGCATCGTCAAATAAAACAAGTCGTGAAGGAACTTGGTAGAACCGTCTATAAAAATACTAAGTAATACACAATTATTATAACTAAAAGATTCAATTAATTAAAAATAATAATTTTCTATATTTTATATAAGACACAATGTGCAATAAATAATTTTGTCCACTTTCAGAATGACTATATTAAGTAGTCGTGAGCATACTTGCATTCAAGATGTTCCTGGAAATAAAACTGAGCATTGCTATAATCTACTAGATCCGGAAAAGGTTATTTTATAATTCAAAAATTAATAAAGATTATCTAATTAATAAATAATTGTGAATTATCTTTTTAAATGACATACATACTTTTTCTTTTTTTTTTTTTTTTACAGCCATCTGAGTGTCACTATTACAACAGTACGAATAAAAAGGATTTATCAAATTTTACTCAATTGAAATCTACAGGAATTTCGATGCCGTTCGATATAGAAGATTTAGTTGAAGTCGGTAGAACGAATAATCTATGTCCATATTTTGCATCTAAAAATTTACTTGAAGATGCAGAAATAATTTTTTGTCCATACAATTATATCATTGATCCAGAAATTCGGGATATCGTAAGACTCATATTTCAGTTTTTATATAATAATTGCATGGAAAAAAAAAAAAAAGGAAAAAAGAAATTAATCTATTTCAGAATTTGATGAAATCTTATTCCACATTCATTCCTTCCTTCCTTCCTTCATTTAAATAGAGGATCGTATTGATTTTGTTTAGATGCAAATCAATTTAAAAAATCATGTGGTCTTATTCGATGAGGGTCATAATATCGAAGAAATCTGTCGGCAAGTTGCTGGTGCCAAATTTACAACAGTCGAACTAGAATTTATCATAGAAAATTGCAATGGGTTACTTCTTCAACAATTCATTGATTATGCTGAACGTGACGCCTATAATACCATCAAACACTATATAACAATACTCAACGAGTTCATAAATCAAACTCCTCTCTCCTGTTCGGTATATACATATACAAATATTTTTTGGTTTCTATTTAATTTGGACGATTTTTATATAAAATTAAAACAAAAATTTATTTTTACAAAGTTCCATCAAAATTTGTCATTAAAATTAATCCTAAATTGTATATTTTTAGCAAAATGGTATGGCAATGACCAGTACTATCTGGACGGGTAACCAATTAATAGGATTATTGGAAATGAACGACATTGGTTTGCAAGAAATCACGAAACTATCATCGGCTACACGATTTGTAATAGATGAATTTAATAAAGCGAAAGAAGGCGTTCATAAGTCTAAATCGAAGAAAATAAAATTAACAATTTCACGGACAACAAAAATCCTTCTTCACCGTCTGACCCTCGCTTTAAAGACAATAGGAACGCAAGAGTATGAAAATGATTATAAAGCTTATATAGACGAATCGCTCTGTTCGGATCTAGCTGACAAAGTATATCAATATTTGTTATTTTTTCAAGCATTATGTTTTCTAAGTACTGTTTTATTCATTTTCTTCTTTTCTTTTTGGAAACTCAAAGGAAAGTTGGATACTATCACAAATGGTAGGAAAACGTTTAAGAACATTTAGGTTGATTTGTTTGAACTCGGCTATCATATTTGGCCCTTTGGCACGAGAGGCCAGATCAATTATTTTAGCATCAGGTACCTTAACCCCAACGGAATCTTTTGAAAGTGAACTTGGAACCAAATTTTCCGATATCCATTGTACCAATCACGTTATCAGCAAAGATCGGGTGTTTGTAAAATGCGTGCCAAGGGGACCAGGTGGAACGCTTCTAAAGGCTAACTTTACCAATGTGAATACTTGGCAATTCCAGGTCATTTTCAACAATATACTTTTGCATTATACAGTCAAATAATGAACTGTTATACAATAATAACTGATTTTTTATTACATATTGACAGGATGAGCTAGGGCAATTAATAGTTAATATCATTGAAACTGTACCTCATGGAGTATTATGTTTTTTTTCATCATATATAATGATGAATAACCAAATCAATAGATGGAAAGTTACTAATATTTGGAAACTCATTCAAAAATATAAAAAGATCTTTGTGGAACCTCGGGAGGGCTCTAATCTAAAAGATATAATGACACAATATCGAGAAGTAATAAACGAAACCTCTGAAATAAATGTTGATAATAAGGAAGGCCATTCAGGTGCCATTTTATTTGCCGTATTTCGTGGCAAAGTTTCCGAAGGTATCGACTTTAGCGATAATGAGGCGCGTTGCGTTGTTACGGTAAACACCTAATGATTATACATCTGAATTCTAATTGACTATTATATAAATATCACGATTGAGTGTGAGATTCAATTAAAAGGCATTTTTGGTAACACTGTATGTCAAAACGTATATTCTATTATGAATTATGTTTGTTGTTAGGTCGGGATCCCTTATCCTGTAAAAAATAACAAGGATGTCCAAATGAAGTGGGAGTACAATGACAAGAACACTTCGAGAGGACTACTTAAAGGTTCCGACTGGTATAATATCCAAGCTTTTAGGGCTTACAACCAAGCGTTAGGTCGATGCATTCGGCACAAAAATGATTGGGGTGCCATTTTATTGGTAGACGAAAGGTTTGTTCTTGTTCTTGTTCTTGTGATTCATGAAAATATCTTTAAAAGACTTTAATTATTAGAATTTTTGTAGGTTTCTAATGCAATCATACCAGAGTAGTTTACCCAAATGGACACGTAATTCGGTGAGAATTATTAATCAACGTTTGAATCAATTTTATTATCATTACTTTCATGTAATTTTTCTTTTTTTCTTTTCTGCAGCTACAAAAAAATAGTAAAGGTGAAAATATTATGGAGGAATTAAAAGTTTTTGTCCGGTCGAAAAAGACGCTATTATTGGAAGATGTGAATTAACTTGTGTAAAAATAATACTCTTTTTACAATGTTACCGTTAAAAAGCATTTAATTAAATTATTTCATAAAATAATCAGATATTTTGTAAAATAATCTATTGTTTTGGGAAAGCATATAATAAGAATTTTATTATACACATTATTTTTATTTTCATAGTGTCGAAGGAAATTTAATTGAATCCCTTAAATCAATAGAAAAACCTTATCTCGAAATTACATAATCTTTGCTTGGAAGGCCTAAAAATAGATTAACGGATATACCACTTTAACGGTAACATATAGGCGATATGATGTATGCGATAGACAATAATGTTGATTGAGACTTTGTTTATTAAAGTTTAGTTAAAGAAGCAGAAATAATTTTTTGTTCGTGCAATTATATCATTGATCCACACATTCGAGAAAGCGAGCGTAAGACTCATGTTTCAGTTTTCATTTATTAAAATTGCATTTAAAAACAAAATTGAATTAATCTATTTCAAAATTTGATATAATCTTATTCCCCACATTCTTCCTTCCTTTATTTAAATATATAAAAATATTAATTTCGTTTAAATGCAATTTAATTATTAAGAGAATTGTTGGAGGTGATTGGTTTGCAAAATATCATGAAATTTTCATCGGCTACACTATTATTAATAGATGAATTTAATAAGCAATTTAATAAAACAAAATTTCTATGAGATGAAAAAATATATTAACAATTTCACGTACAACAAAAATCCCTCTTCACCGTTTATAACCTTCACTTTAAAGACAATTGCAACGCAAAAGTATGAAAATGATTAAAAACCTGCATAGACAAATTGTTCTATTCGAATGTAACTGACAGTATATGTAAATATTCTTATTTTGTCGAACATTAATTTTTCTAACTATTGTTTTATTAATTTTCTTTCTTCTTTTTATAGAATTCAAACGAAAGTTAATATTCATATGAGTACATATCTTTTCATCGAGAAACAAAAATTAATAACATGACAATGTATATATATATAAAATAAAATTAAGACTTATTTCTTATTGATATTTGTTTATCATAGCGATCTATTTGATAGATGCATGTTTATTATTTTTACATGTATATTCCTCAATGACATTTGTTAGAATTTTTTGTAAAGCGTTTCTTAATCTTCATCTCCCTTTTCTTTTTATCATTGTTCCAAAATATTTCTTTTTCATGTTTTTACATGTATATTTGATTAAAAGAAGTTTTCTTTACTTCTTATACGTATATTTTGGCAATATTATTAACAACTCGCTTGTTATTTATTTCAAACGTTAATTCGTATCCCTTTTTTCAATGAATCTCAGTTGTTTCTTGTTCATTCTCTTTAATTTAGCGGTATTTTTAATCTAAAGAAAAGAATAACCAAAGCAAAAATAGTTAAAAGAATATTACTTAATTGATTAATTTCATACAGAACAAATATAATAATATCTATACTCACAATTTGTACTACTTCACCCTTCTTTCTATTTTCCTCTGCTCTTTTTAAATTTTCTATCCTCCGTTGCTTCTTTGCTTCTTTCTCTGCTTGCTTTTTTTCTTTGATAGCTCTTGACATTTCTTTAGCGCGTTGAATATTTTCCTTTAATTTCTGCTTCTTTTCGAGTGATAATTTAATACCTCTACTTTTGACAATAGATGAAAATCTAAATATAAACACATAATTAAATATATATGTATAATTATAAAAGATAAATTATTAAAAGAATTATTGAGATATGTGTGATATTTGATATACATACCTCTTCTTTGGTTCTTTCCATATTCTACCAGATTTAGGTTTTCCCTTTGGAATCTCTTGTTCAAAAGATATTTTATTTTTATTCTCCACATAATTTTCACATATATTTGGTATATCGTCGTCGGATGAATCCTCATTAAGAATATCTTCCATTCTAATTACTTTTTCTTCCATTTTTATAATAACAAATATAAGTTAACTACACAAAAATCACCAAATTCCTTTCACTTGTAAACTATACTTTTTAGGTTAAGAACTCACGTGGGTAGGTTCCATCAAAATATACTACTAACGACGTCTACATAAAAATAGAGAACTAAGATCGATAGATAATGTGTGGATTGGTAAATGATCTACGAAAAGTTTTCTATTGTTTTTTGTTTTCAATCAATTGCTGACTTTTTTCTTTGTATGTTTTTCTCCGGTCTTTCTAGCTCCAGCACGATATCGGTTTTTTTTAATCTAGTAAGTCTTTTTCCTGTACCTATTCCAAGATAATCGTTCTTAACGAGTAAACTCCTTTAATTAATAATTAAAACAAAATATCTATATTACATTTTTAATTGTTGTTTGCTTTTAAATGTATGTAGAATTTAATTACACATTCACTTTGTGTAGACTACTTGTTATTAAAAGTTACTAGGAAATAAGAAAGTTTAAAATATATTGAAATTCTAGTAACATGGCTAAGCCGATATTGGTAATAGTAGTGCTCTACTTACCATCAGAATTACCGACAGTAGAAACATTTTCACTGCAGAAAGAAAAAAATAAATGCTCTTAATTGCTCAATAATTGCTCATTTAAAATCCATAATTGCTCGCCTAATTAACTAATAATTTTTCTAATATGACTTACCGACCGAGACCTGATGGTAAGTTACCATCAGAATTACCGACAGTACAAAAATTATTTACCTAGATACCATTTATCGACATGTCGATATTATAGATTCGCTTTACGTCGATAACAATAAAAAAATAAATTTTAGAAACATAGTCCAATATTATTTTTCACAAGTTATAAATTATGAAATAATTCACCGACTCAATAAACGTATTTTATTTGAAATTAACACACTCTCTATCCTATATTTTAAAAATATATAATCTTTGATTATTACCCATATACTTCAATACAATTACAGTACACCATTCGAGTTATAATATAAAATATTTAAACGACTACATATATCTAATATGTTATTAATAATAATTATTAATTAATTATTACCCAAATCTATGTATATATATATAATTAATATACTTATGATAATAATATATTGTACAAACTTCATGCGGTACGAATTATTCGTAATATAAAACAAGAAAACCCATAAAATAGATATGTATTAATATTATTATAGAGTCTCAAGTATTCGATTGAATTCGAAATAAGTCCACACCATTATCACATTTCATAGAATTCCGAAAAGCAAAAAGGACAAGTAATATGAATAAAACGCGAAAACCATCACGTCTTTTCTATCGTGGTCGTTATTTTTAGCGATCTTCTTCTTTTCTTTTTTTTTTAACTACCACCTGGGCTGTCCTTTTGCTGCTTTCGAATTCATATATTCATATTCAATGGCATTAACGGCACGTATTTTTCACTTGGCCGAAACTTATACTGCGAGCACAATCTATTTGACTCTGCTTCGTCGTAACCATTCCTATAAACAAAAATATAATACAAACATTAAATTAATAATCTATCAATCGTTTTTATAAAATCACTTTTTATGAGAAAACATGGCAAATGTTAATATAAAAAAAAAACAAAGATTGTTATTTTAGTATCGTTTTTAGTATTATCACCACACCACCACCATCACCGCTACCACCATCAATCTCCATTTTCCTCTGTTATCAATGAATTAATAAACATACTAATTTAATTAGTAGAAACAAACAAAGAGACATAAAATTTCATAATACTTCAATGGTCATTTAATGTTTCTCTTCAATGATCTTGAAAATAATTCGAAATATTTTTCTGGAGACGTCTTATCCTGTCAAGTATTTTCTCGATGAACTCTGACAGTGGTGTCTGGTATATATTATTGTTATTTCTTCCAGCTTCCCTATAGTTGTTATTATCGAGTGGCTCGTAATTCGTTGAATGTTTCCAATATGCAATACATTGTTCTAATAATCTATATTTGTTTATACAAAAAGAAAATCTTATCTAATTGTTATTAATAATAAAGGATGAAACAAAAGTTCCAATTAGAAATATTTGATAGATTGTAAAACTACAATCCTAGCTTGTAAAGATAATCTAACTTAACTAAAAGTTTATAAAATTGCAAAACACAGAGTAATTGATTTTAAGAAATACCTTGGAATTTGTGATTCATCCTGTTAAATGAAATGATACCCTTTAGAAATGAATTATTGAGAAGAATTTCGAATATAAAAATACCTTTGCCATTGGGAACATGGTCGTCTTTCTTTGAAACAAGTTACTTGTATAACATTGAAGAAAAGGGCACCGATAGTGTTGGCAACCTCGGTATTAAGATTTTGCAAACATCTTCGAAACTTGGCGTCGCAATCGCAATGCGAACGTATGAAAGGTGAATTGTTACATATACCATGAATACATTGCTGAGGTGATATCGCTATTGGGCAATGATCGTGTTCCCTGCAGCATGCATCTTCTGCCGCATGATGACCTAAATCATCGTAAGAACTTGCCACATTTCCAGGTCCGCACCATTTTGTTCCAGGATATATTAATCCACCTCCCGATGTTCGATTCTAATATGACAAAGTTACATTAGAAATTAATTAATTGCCATAGAGTCATATTATTTTCTTTTTAACAAAACAACTTGTCATTATATCCTTGACAACTTGGCATACGCGATAAAAAAATATTGTATTAAATAAAAATAAAATATAAAGAAATGATATAGGAACTAAATTTATGAAACGTTCATAATATAACGTTCGATATCTTTTAGACACGATATACAAATAAAAAGATTTTAGTCAGAGTTTGATAATTTTATTTTAATAAGTTTTACGTGTTTACTTTAGAAGCCAAACAAGTTTCTTCGAGATCAGCAACGAGATTGCTTGGCATTTGCCGAACTTTCTTTGGATCTGCACCGAGTATCATTCTTTGGATTACACCTCGATCATTATAAAGTGAACATATTGGTTCGCCAGCATTTAATTCTACCATTCTGGACATTGTTGTATCAGCAACAAGCACGCTTCCCATTGTTTTTTGGGCCCATAGGACCGACAAAATGCATAATGATGCAGTCAGCATCTGTAATAAATAACATTGATTAGAAATTGTATACAGTTATTCTAAACGCTTGAAATAAAGAGTAATAAAATACAAATGAACAGGAATAATAATAAAAATCCTCTCTCACAATAGCATAAAAGAATGTTTCCATCTATATATATAATATGTATTCGAGGATAGTAATTACTCGTTGGTGAGGAGGGTCGGAGTCGAACAGATTGGCGGCCTGCACGTATCCCGGTCACTTTAACGAGTCATTTGAGGGGTAGATCGATTAAATGTCTACTAGCCTGATATTAAACATTATTATTTATTTTTCATTTTCCGACCAGGTCAAACTCATCGTCCTCGATAACGATACTTTGTCTGTAAACTTTTTGCGATCTTCTACATTTTCTTTTCTCATCATTTTTATTATCATTTAAATCAACTTTCATATATTAAATCTATTACTATACTTGTACAAATAATAATCTTCAATTCATTTCTTTCAAAATAATTTTAACTATTTCTTTTCTCATAATTTTGAACTGTGAACTGTTTATCGAGAAATTTATTAGAAAAATTAAGTCAGTATGATATACGGAAAAACAATTAAAGAAGGATATTACAAAATCGTGAAGCCGATATTGTCAATGTGTGTTTCAAAGTCACCATTTAACCTTCGATGATAAGAAAAAGAGAGTTTTTTTAATCATAGTCATACGTCAATGGTTGTTTCACAATTTCAATTTTTATTTCTTAAAAAAAAAAAAAAAACTAACCGTAAAAAAGGGGGAAAAAACTACGAAAGAAACATTTCAATGCATTTGTCAGAGTTTGATGTTATAATTTATCGCAAACGCAAAGACGAAATCAACAAGTTCTTTCTCAAGGTTCACCATTCATTTCCTTACTCTTTTTCGCTCTTTTTTCTTTTTTACATAAAATAATGAAAAAAAAAAAAAGAAATGATTACGAAAGAGACATCAATAGATAGCGTATTTAAATTTAGGTCAAGATCGAAGAAGGATTCGACATTGAACGTTCGACTTCGATTTCATCTTATAATATATACTATCACTTTCCTTGTTTGGCATTTTTTCTTATAACTTCTCTCAACTTTCGACTCTCGGCTAATTTTAGAAAATTAATTGAACAAATTAACCTTACGTTAAAATCATAGAAATAATAATATATTATATATTAATTGATGAATTATATTATAGAAAATTCAATTAAAATACAAATCTTGGATTTGTCATTCTTTCTTTTTTGAAATTTATTTATTTATTTTATGACAAAAATTAATTGTTAGATTATAATGAAAAATAAATAAACAATATGATTTTATAAAAAACAAAAGACTCTGAAAGAAAATGATAGATTTTATTAATGGTCAATATATGTTGTGTAGCATAAATTATATTAATGAAATTTAAAATTCTTTTGAAAAGATCACTTTCGAGGACTCTTTCTATTCAATGGATGGACATTGATGGATTGACATTCTATGCTTGTGTTCCTTGAGGATGATTGCTATGAAGAAGAATTTAAAACCTAAAATAGAGTATAATTTTGAAAAATAATGATATTTATTAGAAAATATATATAATAGATTATTCGTAATCGAATAGAAACTATTGAAAGCGATAGAGGGGTTGATCCCTTAATATATAAATTACTCTCGATATTGACCCTGTTAAACGAGACAACGATTGAATCGTCCTAATTTGAGAGACTGATCCTGAAATCACTATATTCAAACGAGAGCAACGTTGATCTCGTATTAACGATGAGATGTGGGTCAGTCTGCTTTTATTGACGTACTTGTCCCTTGAACCTGAACGAATCTAATCGATTATCGTTACTATAAAAATGCTGATCGATGATGATCGATGATAATTAATGACAATTGTAAAACAATAATTTAAATATATATATGAAATATAAATGATAATCAAATATGCGTATATAAAAATAATAAATATGATCCGCTTATATATATAGAAATAAATCTTTATTTTTTAATGTAAGTATGAACTTGGTAAAATGATGCGGAAATCGATATATGATGGTTGCTAGATAGCATTTTGCGTTATACGAGGTCAAAACAAAAGAACAAGTAAATTGAACTCGAATCGATAATAGGATATGAAATGTTTACTTATTTCTTTTATCTCTAAGGTTTCTTGAACGGACTTATACGTATCACCGATTGTTATCTACTTGATAAAAATGTATCCCAACATTTCAATCATGGATAATGATTTTTTATTAAATATAAAGAAAATATAAATCATTTTCTGTGACGTAGATAACAAATTTTTAAAAATATAAATCGAATGAAAATAAAAGAATGAAAATGCGATAGAAAAAATAATTATTGATATAAAAATAATGAAAAATAAAACTAAATTAATGAAATATGTAAACAACTATACGACGGAAAATCAAATATCAACTTTTTCAGATATCAATTCTCTACTTATCCTAATTATTTTAGATCAACCCCTTCAATTAATTTTACATTAATTTATTATTAATATTTTATTCAGTTAAGTGTCTCTTCTCTTATTCCTTCAATTAAACATTAATATTGATATTTTTATTTGAATAAGTTATTAAATTTGGTCATGATATTGCGAATAAAATATATTTATTCAAATTTGATTTAAATAAATTCGACCTTACCTCCTCTAAAGATCAAGATGCCAGTAGCTTATTAACCAATTTGAGAAAGAAAGAAAAAAAAGAGAAAAGAAGAAAAGAGAGACAGAAAGAGAAACAGAAAGAGAGAGAAAGAGCGAGCAGGTCGACTCGAAAAAATTGTAGAAATCAAACTGTCAGAAGGTTTGGAAAACGAACTGACAGGTGCGACACACGCATAGGTATAGGAAATCTGACCTGCGCAACCCCTAAAAGGAGTACACTAGAAAAGTGGTGCAGTGCGGAACGATCGGTCTAACAGTATGCACCTTGTATCATCAGTAATTCATTATCATTAACAATAATTAACATTCTCATTCAAAAAATAGTTACAAGATATTGTCTAACGTGCGTTAATATTACCAAAAGGGATTAATCGGCTTTATTCAAATTTAATTAATCGTCAAATATTAAACCAAATGATTGCAAATAATGTGTTCGACGTATTAGTGTTACAAAATTAAAATCATTCCAATATAATTAACAAAATCATTAAACGTATGCAAATTTTAGTATCACATAGAAAAATAGATAAAAACTCTTTTCAATAAGTGTCCAATAAAAAAAAAAAAAAAAAGAACAAGGAAAAAAAATGATTATTCGAATAATAATTAACGAACGTGTAATTAATTTACGTACATTAAATTTGTCTTGACAACTCTATAAAATCAGGTGAGAAAAAGCGTCGACCTTCTTTATTTTGTTCTACGACTCGTCGATTTCAATAATATCGTAGTCCACCTCGAAATATTTTTCTTTCGTAAGCACACGAAAAGTTTGTTAGTCACTCTTCAGCGGTTGCTAACAGACTGATCCGTTCGTTCGAACGTCAGGATACTAATATTCGTGAACAGCACACATCGTACATATTAGGGGAGACTATAATCACGTGACGAATGTTTATAAGTATCTATAACATTGCAAAGAGACGTGATCTGACATTTCAAATTGATCTAATCACCCGATAAAAATTGTATATCATTTTTGTAATAAATAAATTATTTTTTAACTCATGATCTTTCACTTATCTTAAGGAGATATTTTTCTTCTCTCTTATCGTCAATTTATAAGGAAAATTATTTTTCATTGATTAATGTCATCGTAGATAGATACTCATTTTCATTGACTGATTTTATTATAGACGTCAGTCGCATTAAAATACTTCATTAAACTCTTTGATATCTTTAAACCAATTCGTTGGACGCAGAAATAACAGAAAATTATTGCGTTTATAGATTATTATTATTATTATTATTATTATTATATCTGTTATAATATATCTTTACGAGAAGTTACGTCAACGTCGATATTTCTCATCTAACTAATCAAAAATACGTATACTTTTTTCTATAAAATTAAAATTATAAACTGACATTATCTCGATACGTTTTCTTTCTATATCTTATTTCTCTTAACAGTATATATATAAGATACATTTTTAAAAAATATAAAAAACAGAGAATAAACTTTTACCCTAATATCATGTTTTTGTTCGTTTTTAACTAAACAATCATTTCTTAACATTTTTATGGAATCCATTCGACTTCGTTAGTCTCGTATTTTCCAGAATCTCTCATCACTGGTATAACCCTATGCGTTTCCTCTGGTTTCGAAGCAGTTTTACTTTCTTCGGAACCAGCTATTTTATGATAAACTTTGCTACCAGCACTGGCAACCCATTGAACACCATCCCCAAGTTTTTCGCCAGCTTTACGTACGGCACTGCCAAAACTTTCAGCCGTGAAAGTGTTAGGATCGATGTTTATGTCAAAAGTATCATTACCGCGTGGACAACCGCTCTGAGAAATGATACTAAGATCATAAGGATCTACTCCATAGCTTGACAATTTTGCTTTTATATTATCTATGATATCCTTGTCAAGATCACGATGTCTTGAAAGTATAGTTGCACTTTGTCGATGGGCAAAAGCTAATTTCTGACAGGTAAATATTCCAGCATAATTGTCATAATCCGTAGTGAAGATTATGTGAGATGCACTACCTGCTACACCTAAAAAAAAAAAAGAAACAATGAAAACCATTTCAATATTTGCTTCATAGTCTTTCTAATAAATCAATCAGATTCATTCTGTACGTCATTGGAAAGTGAAATCAATGTAACTTTAAACCTACAAAAGGTTAATAATAATCAGGATTAAAATCTTCCTTTTAAAAATGACTCATGTTACTTACTGAGCGGGAAGCGAACTTGCATTCGAGCCGGTGTACTAGGTTCCGGTACACTCAATTCACCAGTATAGTGATACTCGTGCTTTAGTGGCGTAAGACCTGTACAGAAAGAGATTGCTTAATTACAGAAAATTCATCCCACTTGAAAGACATTTATGCTATTAGCGTGCTTTTATCAGACCGGGTAGGGTCCATATATTATTAGTATTTCTTTATCTATAGAAATTTTTCCAAGTAATATTAAACGTAACGATTTCTATTCTTATAAGATGATACCTAATCTTATAGAAAATATAAAATAATCATTTAAATTCACCTAATACAGGATGATCAGATTCTTGAGTTATCAAGTATTCTCCCGGTTCTTCGCCACGAGTATAATTATAGGTAATACATTTGCTTGCAGTAGACGTTTTCTGAATGACATACCAGATTCCTAGAAACTACAATTACATATGATTAATATCTCCAAAGTGTCACAATGATTGAACAATTTTTAGTTAACGATTAAATATTATTACCCTGTTCATTTGAAATCCATGCATTGGCTCTACTATGGGACAACTACCCATGTGATAACTATGAGCCTTAGCAAGGGCTAAACATCCTGCTAGGGCAATAAACAAAATGATCGAACGCATCTTCTAAAAAGAAAATGTTCAACAAATTAGAAACAATAAAAGTAATAATATCATTCAATAAATACAGAAATTTCTAAGTTTTTAGAAAGTTGCTGTTAAATTTTTATCAAATTTCTCCTGTGAAACCGGATATGTGGGTCGAATAATGGAAAATCATATATATATATAGTGATAAGATTGTGTTTATCTAAAAAATTCAATACTAATCTAACAAAGCGATTCCCATAGATGATCCAATAGTATCTAAATTTAGACCGGATGATTCACTCGTCCTTGGACACGCATCGCGGGGCAAAGACCTTTAATTTACGCTTCTACAACTATCAATCTACTTCCTTTTTGATAAACGTAAATTTCGAGAGAAAAAACAACACGCAATAGAATTGACTTCTTCTTAATCTACTCGGACTTTACACTTTTAATAAAAAAAAATTAATAAAAATACATCTGATGTTATAAATATATGTTGAAATTTATCTAGTTGATAAAGCGCACAATTAAAAAACCTTAAATTTCTCTCAGTTGTATTAATCAAACGACAATCATTTGTTAATAACAACAATATATAAAATATACAAATTTTAAATAAAATTCATTGTTTCTACTGATTAGATCTCATGTGTTCAATAAAATGATATTTAATTGATTATTGTCTAAATTAAAAATATTAATTGAAAAATGTATAACACGAATAGCAGCAAAGAGACTCACCGTTTAAACGTCAATCCTTAGTTCTGAACGCAAACTGTAAACAGTAATTCGAGGCTTGACTTTATGTGCTGGAGATCTCCCCACTCTCTAATCTTCAAATATACGTCACGCATACATTAAATGAGTAACATGCAGGAGAGAACAAATAATATGTTCCTTTCCAACCGCATCCAAGATGTAAATTTTCTGTAAATAATAAAGATATATTTAATAAAAATAAAACAAAATAGCAAGAAATTTTGTCTATTGCACAGCAAAATAATTGTTAATAATTTTACATTACTATTAATTAATGAAAAAATTTACCATATTCTTTGTTCACAAGTATTCATAATCTATTATTGATTTTTTTAAAGAAATTTGACGTTGATTTTCAATTAATTAAATTAATTATTATTTTTCGTGTAATTGTTTGGAATTTTTGTTATAATTACAAAAATGTATTTTATAAAAATATTTATATATAATAGAAATGTATAATTAAAACTTGTACGATTTGTAACAGGGATCGAAACAAAATAGTTACATTGTTGCTTACGATGACGCATAGTCGACATGTAGGAGAAATTAGTTTAGAGCATATGATTCTAAGAACCAATAATTATCCACTTGGCTTCCCATTCCTTCTCCTAAATAGTATAATACGATTTTGCTGAAATGGTAAAACGTCGATAATTCTCAGCTAACTGAATCATTATGATTAACAATACCTTTAACTTGAAGTACATAGGTCATTCATAGTTGAATGATAATATTACATAAATGAAATGCTTTGTGTACAAAAAATTGTCCTGTATTTTCAAAATAATTTACAAAGATTACGCTATCTTAAAGAATATACATATTTAATATTTATCGAGAGTTCTTCTTTTTTCGATTTATTTTGTTTCCAATAAAAATGCTTACTATTTTATTTAGTTAATAATAAATCGATAAATTTAATCCACTCTTGTTCATCTTTTCTTTCACATATTAAATATCAGAGAGTAGTACAAAAGAAGAAAAATCATACTTAATTAAAATATAAATTATAGATAATGAAATTATTTTGCGAATAGTATTCTATTAAAAATAAGTAGTTAAGTATAGTTAAGTATAGTTTAGATAAATTCTTGTTTGTCAATGTAGATATAAAATATTATAGTAATATCATGTAATTGTTGCATCGAAATTCTCCCTTGATCTATACTTATGATATATAGTACACATATTGAAAGACGTAAATGTACTGGAAACATCAAATAATAAATTTCGACAAATGACTTGATATAATATAAAGCTTAATAGTATGTAATGAGCATATTTAGTCATATTCATCAATTAAAAGAATGTTTGCAATCAAACACCTTAACTCACATCCTTCCGCTATTCTAAGATATATCTTTTTATATTGTCGCACAATTAAAACGTCATAAAGAAACACAACGAACATATCTTTCTTCGTTTCTTTTTTGTTCTCCCTTTTTATTATACAGGTGGTAACTTTCTCATATCCAAATCTTGGAAATAAGGATGTTTTAAAGCTGCCCTTGCCGTTATTCTATGAACGGGATCGTAAACAAGCATAGCTTGCAATAATTCAACCCCATCCTCATCAAGATTCTTAACTTGGGCTTCTAGATTGTTAGTTACCCAATTTGGAAATGTTGTCTTATAATCATTTAATTGAGTGACGCCAGGCCATATTTCTTCCGTTGGTGTTCTTAAAATGCTATTTAAATATTGTTCAAAATATATATAAATAGCTTTTTGAACTCGTTATAAGAAAATTTAGATATGTAAATATTGATCTTACCGAAAAATTCGAAACAATTGATCGATTTCACTGTCTCCTTGAAATAATGGCTTTTTCATAGCCATTTCAGCAAAAATACAGCCAACGCTCCACATATCGATAGCACAAGAGTACCTACTGGCACCGAGTAGAATTTCAGGTGCTCTATACCACAAAGTAACTACCTCATGCGTGTAGACTCTGACAGGAATTCCAAATGCTCTTCCCAACCCAAAATCTGCTACTTTGATAACTCCTTTTGTACCAATTAATAAATTTTGTGGTTTCAAGTCTCGGTGTAAAACTCTACGCTTATGACAGAATAGAATTGCTCGTGTTATCTAAAAAAAACCAAATAAAAGAAATAAATATATACATATATGTTTAATTGTTGCTATTAGTGTACGGCTTATATTGAGACCTGGTATAAATAGGACTTGACCGTTTTAGGTTCAATCATTACACCGGTCCCCAAACTATCCATGTATTTTTTTAAATCCATAGTAAGATACTCGAATATAAGGTACAATCTAGATTCTTCCATAAGCACGTCGACCAAACTAACGATATTTGGATGTTTCAACTCCTTGAGAATAGAAATCTCTCTGATTGCAGTCGATGGCACACCTTCGTCATCGCTTTCTAAACGAATCTTTTTCATGGCTACAATTTCACCAGTCTTTTTGTGTTTTCCTTTATACACAACACCATATGTGCCTATAGTATAATATATATTTTATTAAATGCGAAGATTTACAAAGAATATATAATTGAACATACATAAACATATATGTAGATATTTTTTACAAATGGTCAAAATAACTTTGAAAACACAAATTAAGTTTACATTTTACACGAGTCGTATAAATGTTATAAAATAAGAAAAACGATCAATTAAAAAACGTATAATTATAATTAAGTCTTATTATTGATAAATAAATGATATTTAACTTTTTAAGATAGTATCAAACAAAAAATATTAAACGTTTTACCTTCACCAATTTTTTCAATCTTAACAAAATTATCCATGATCTTAGAATATATAAGAATCCAAAATGCTTAAAGTTCTATTCCTATAATATTTATCCTTAAAATAAATCACAAGTAAGATTAGAATAGAGTAAAAAAATTATTTCACATTTCCTAGAGGCTTCCGTCTGTTGTCACGTAACGTTCAAATTCAAACGATGCTACGCCATATTGTTAAATCATTTGAAAAGCAATTCAATTCTTCCGTATTACATCGACGTTAGATCCACCAATCAAAACAAGCGATGTACTTTTATTATTTTTCTTTACCCGCCAAACATTATGCATTTGTTTATTTCCGTTAAAATAATTTTTTTTAATACTTAGGCACTTATATTTTGTTATAAAAATAAATTTTACAATAAAATTCAAGAAGCAATGAGAAAAAATGAATAAAAAGCAAATATTTGAACAACTTGAACATAACCAAAAATTTGAAAGAATCAAGATGTCGAGATGTCTTTCAAAGATTAACAATTTTTACACAAATACTATATGAAATATTCGTATTTATTTCATATTGTGTATCGTATTTGTGTAAAAATTTTTAATCTTTAAAAGACGTTGATATCTTGATTTTTCTAATATATNTATTTTAACAATTTTATATTTTTATTTTGAAAAATTGTATATTTTTTCTGTGTCCCTTGTATATTCTATTTTTACTATATATATATATGAAGATATATAAATGGAAATGCATGTTATATAATAAGATCAGCTTTATTACATGCGTGCGTGTAACATACAGGTTTGATTAATTTATTTAAGAATGAAATCATAATGCCAATTGTTATTAGCTTACATTATTATTCGACCATTAATTATTAAAAAAAAATGTTAAATGAAAAAGAAAGGATAACAAAAATCTACATATATATTTAAACGCTTGTTATTGATCAAAACTATTTTTTTTACATCTATATTTCCTGTACATGTTAAATAAAGAGGTTAAAAAGAAAAATTTGCAATAATAAACCTTTTAAAATCTAATTGTTAATTTTACAATGCATTTTTGATCTTTTCTTAAATACATTTAAACATCTCAGATGCATTATAGAAACGCTTTATATGATAAGCTTTTTACGAAAATTTAATGATACAAGCTCGAACGAAACTATTTCTTTTTTCTTTCTCTTTTTAATCTCATTGTGACAACTTATACAAATATCACTATATTATAATACAGTTACCTAGCGTTTCATTTTTTCAATTTCTTTCATTTAAGTAAATATTAATAATAATAATTTATCGTGGAAATTGATATCCCCCAGTGGAGTATCCGAGTCCTACACCACGTTGAGTGTGCGTAGTAGCGCGTGCCACTTCATATTGTTGTTCCATGTTGTTAAACATTTCTTCCTGTTTTTTCAAAATATCAGGCTTTGTACCTGTAGTTTGGGTGTTAGGTAAATCACCTTTTATTCCCATCAGTCTCTTAAATTTCGCAGTTACTTTTCCATCTTGATCATGAGTAAACGTCGTACCCATCCATGTGTTTGCCGTAGTAGCTGTATTGGAAGTACCTTTACCTTCTTCTTGTTTCGACTGTGCGAGGAGTTAATAAAAGAAATAAAGTATAGATATATATGATCGCGTGAAAATAAATAAATATAAATGCATAATTATTACTTCTTGTATATATATATAATAACTATGTAATAAAAATAATAATAATAATATATATATATATATATATATAATATAGTATATAACAAGTAATCCTAATATTAGAATAAATAATGAAAATAAAATCAAATCTGTTCACCTTATTAGCCCACAGTAATTTCCTCTTTTGAATTTGTTCCGCATATTTCCCCTGAGTAGCTGTGGTCAATGGATTATAATAATTTTGCTCGCTTTGAATTCCCAAAGCTACAGTATCCCCTTCAGGTGCTTTCAATTCGATTCCTAATTTCTCTAATTGTGCCAATTTATTTCTTCCTTTCTCTTCTCTATAGCTCATCGTTCTGAAGGGTAGCGGAGCCCGATCTCTCGACCTGGATCTTGATCTCGTACGATCCTTTTCCTTATGGTAGCTAGATCTTTCTTCCCTATGTCGATCCTTTGATCTTTCGTCCCGAGAATGACGACGCTCTCGTTCTCTTTCTCTGTCTCTACGTCTGTCTCTGTCGTTTCTCGATTCACGAGTTCTATCCCTTCGATTATCATCACGATAATGATGATCTTTCTCATCGCTCTTCTCTTTACGTTTATCTTCATCGCGTGACTTTTTCTCATCGTCTCTACTTCGTTTCTCCCTGGTATCTTTATTATGAGCATTACTATTATCACCACGTTGTCTTCTATCGTCGTAAGATGATCGACGATTTTTCTCACCACTATGCTTGTTACGGTCAGATCTGTCACTCCTTTTATGTTCATCCTTATTGCTTTCATTATCGGATCTCCTGTAAAACGATTACGTTCTGCAGGGGTATACCACACAGATTCGTATTATTATTCTGTATGAAATGGGTTTATTAAGAATTTTGCTAAACTAAGCACACACACATATATGCTCAGTGTTCAAAGTATTTCTTTTGATTTTAACGTTTTCTTTTCGTTTTTACTTTAATTGACATTATATGATACAATGAAAAACGCGTTAACAAAAATAAATAAAAGTTAAATCGGTAATGGTCATATACAAACCAGCTCACCTCTGGTCTGAAGAAGATGGTGAAATTCTAGACGAGTCTGTTTTGGAACCTAGTGCAGAGGGCATTGCTGCAGGACTATGAGCACGTTCACTCCCAGACTCTCCAGAAGAGTTATTGTTGTTGCTTTCCTAAAGAAACCAAAATTGATTGTTTCAATATATTAGGCTTCTATATAGAAAGTTGTTACATTAAAAAGAAAAGACTTTAAAATAGAATTATAAATCATTTTATGCATTTATTAAACTTAAATTACATTATCCTCATTGTGGATATATATTAATTTCTAGAAAAAAGAAACATCGTGTTTCTATTTCACACAGAATTTATTAATGAAGAACAGTGCTTAATATTATTACTTTTAACAAGGAAGAATATACCTGAACATCAATAATTTCAAATAGATTACTCTATAATACATGTAGATTTTACTTAGCGTTACTTTTCTTACTTATTTTCAAAATGTTTTTGTATAATAATGAATAGCTATGAAGAAATAAATAACACGATTTTATGTATTCTTTTATGATAAAAAAAAAAACAAACAAAATTTTTTTCTTATATCATTGGTTGTACTTGATACAAAGTTTTTGTGATGCAGAAGATTTACGCATCAGTTACTTTGATTACACAATCCAATTTTTCTGTTAATTGCCGGTAGGTATATAAAACCAACATGAAACAACCACATTATAAAAGAGAAATGTAAATATATTAAATATCCTCTGCATAGACATATATACAAATATATATGTCTGTGCAGTTATTTATTGGCAAAATATTTGACAAGTGTGGTGTTCTTTGATGGTTGGTGTTTTGTTAGTGTTACCTTCTGCCAGCTTCCTCTACTCACCTCTGTCTTCTGAATAGGACTTGGGGGTAGTCTTGAAAGACCCTCACACAGCATAGACCTTGCCGAGGTGCGTAGATATTGTATCATGTATTACCAACAGAGCTACGTGTTAATATTTTCTCACGAAATGGTACTATTCCCATTTACTTATCATTTAAACGTTTAAATATCAATTATAGTCTGATTATTCCTTTCAACAAGAAGGTTTTAAGATCACGTTTTACAAATTGTAACTTGTAACATTGTAAAAATGAAGTAAACAAAACTGAATGCAATGTTAAAGCTTATAACATTCTTATGAATGAGAAACTGAATGTAATTGAAATTAAGAGAAAATGGAGAAATAAGAAAAGATGACAATAAAGAGAGAACTCAAAATTATTAAGCAACTAATCGACTCTGTTCAAATACTATGTTGTTCAACGTGACCTCATAACACCAAATACCAGACTGTTAGCGTATCAGTCCTAAAACCCTGTCACGATCATACTGTCCCTACATAGCCATCATTGTATCTTCCCAGTCATCGTCCAAATGTTTCGAACTTAAAATTAACAGATATGGTTGGAGACATCTCTATTAATCATACCTCACTCATGTCCATTTGTACTGGGTCATAATTGGCATCACTAGACCTTCTGTTCCTTACGTCTCCTTGTCCTTCGTACGACATCTTGGAAAATAAGTAACATAAAACAAAATAAATATATTCAATTTCATATGAAAACATTTATATACATTTCCTTAATACATACATAATTAATATATCTCACTAACAAAATATTTTATACAATAGCTTTAGTGGAAAATTAAGAAACCTACATAAAAAAAAACATTCGTTAAAAATCATTCTTATGTTTATACATTTTTATATCGATAATATATTCTTATTTACGATTCGCCATTTAATGGTCGACTATAGGAGTCAGTGCGTTAGTTTGGAAGCCATGATTCCAAGCGTATACATTGTAATCACTACCGACATTACTATTACTTTATTAAAATCATTTTTTTTCAGAAAAATGTTATTATATAGTATAAAAAGAACACTTTCTTATTATCTTACCTTCAGTTCTTCCGAATTATTACTATTTTCACCGTCACTCGCGTAACTTGCTAATGAATCCATAATTTCGTGACGAATTGCAGACAAGTGCGGACTATCTCTTCCGATTCTAACTTGGCGGCGCTGCAATCTTTTCATTTAACCTTTCAACTCCCCCTCTCCTCTCTTAAAATCGTCCAACGTCATTGGACAATACTAGTTTTGTTATTTATTCTTATTTTTATAATAATATTTTACTCGAATATTAGATCTGACAATAAGAAACATGTATAATATTTAGTATATATAATTGTAAGAATTTTGTTGTAATTTATTTAACAAAAGATATATATATAACATGGTTTTAAGTATTTCATAGTTTAAATATTTCGATACTAGCGACGCCTGGTAATGATTTTGAAAGTAACTTTGAACTTAATTTATAAAAGAAGTTGTCTCTCTAACTTATAATTCGTTGTTGTAGGTTATGGGTCACTATTGAAACGCAGTGTTATGCGCTGATAAAAAGTTTATGCGCTGTGATTCATGCCGGATTGTTTACAGGAATGAAAAGGAAAATTAATTCATTTTAAAAGTTATCTAGAATTTCATCAAGTATGGGATGTTGCTACAGTCTTTGTAAAGAGGACACGGGACCGCAGGTAAGAAATATTAACTCGAATATCCACAATATTATTAATTATTTTTTTTAACATTTGCCTTTTATCGTTTGTACTTTGACATATATATGTATATATATGTACGTATTAATGACGTGGGAGGACACACGAGTTATCGCAATTTTCATTGCCTTCTTTAAGATAGATGATGTTGATTTTTTAAATAGTTTAGTCATGAGTATTATAAGGATTTTTAATTTTATTAGAAAGAATAGGGCAAATGTAGTTTGTAAAATTTAGTTTTGAAAACTAGAATTTAAAGGATAAACTACGATGTACAACAAACACCATTCCAATTTTATTGAGGAAGCTTACTAATATTGATGGATAAAAATCAATGTTTGAGAATATTGAAGTTAGCAAGTTATTTGAGTGGTTCATGCATTATAGCTTATTACTGCTTTTGTTTTATAGTATGGTGTATGATGAATATTTGAGGTAATAAGATTTTTATTTATAGAGTGGTGAAGTAAACGAGAGAACACATCTTCTAGTCGATCCTGTTAGTAATAATACAAATATACCAAGAGTGCACAGGTAAGATATTTATTATGTTCCTTTGCTAGGTAATTTTTTTCATTGAATCAATTAAGGCTTTATTATTTTATTTTCTAGTGACGATTATGTTAATCAATATGCAAATTCTGAACCTAAGAAGACAGACGAACAAAGTGCATTGAACAGAATTCTACACGAAACAGCGGCGTGAGTGTTGATCGTACTTTAGTTAGAATTACGTAGTTTATATTTTGTTTTGCATATATATATATATTATGTTTCTTAGCTTATATGTGGTCAAATATTATATATAATTTCTTATAAACAAATGTTTTCTATTTACAGAAATGTAATAGATATTGGCGCATTGGATTCACATAATTTAGAACAACACGAATATATGGATAGATCTAGAGCTTATGCAAAACGTATAGAAGCAGGGGGCTTCAAAGTCCCCGATCATACTACGTGTCTTCTCAAGGATATTCCTGCACCTGAACGAATACTCGCATCAAATCCGCTTGATGCTGGAGATCACGAACTTGTAAGATATATCTTTACATATATACAGGGTGATTGAATAGCTTTACTAAGATCTCAGCAATTATTCATTTTAGACCCTACGTAATATCAGTTTTTTTGTACAGAATTTGATGCTTTATCAGAATCTAGAAAAAAAATAACGATGATCTTGATATCTTATAAACAAATGACCTTAAAAAAAAGTTTTTACCATTACATTTGTCCCGTAATTTAGTTTAACTATGCAGGAAAGCTTTTTCCATACAATGTATATTTTACGAGTTATTTTGAAACGTCACGTTCCGTGACTCACCCTGTATAAAGAAAGTTAACTTTGATCAATATCATCAATTTTTATATAAATAATTCTTACTAATTTCTTTTTTATAGATCACCGGGATGCTCAAGAATGCAGTAGCTGCATTAAATGATATCAAAGTAGAGCATAAGGAAGATTTGGTAGTTCCTTTCTTATCGTGATCTTACAGTAATTCCATCGACAGGATACATCACCCTGTCTAAATGGAATTATTTTTGTCAAGAAACACAAAGTACGTATCTTATCGAACCGAGCTCGCAATAATTTTCATTGAATTTAAAACAACGATGGAGCTTATTTAAAAATGAATGTAAAGTCAAACATTAAGCGTTATGTTGTATCATAATTAAGTTTGAACTATAGGTCTGCTCTCATATAGAATTATATCTAAATGCTAAGTTTGAAAAATGTTTTAATGTAATATATTAGTAATCGAACGAAGTAATTCATTTGCTTTTTTCTTTAATTTTGTTCATATATATATATATATATATAAGAATAATTAATTTGATAAGACTTTTGTATAGCTTATTTATAATCATGCGTATAAAAATGATTTATTGACGTAGGGCAAATTCATATTGCCTTTCGATCTCGTTTGTTCCTTGCTAAACTACTTTAACACATTTCATTCTGTGATTCTAGAAAAGACTAAGAGAAATCTTTTGTTAAAGGTTTTCTACGGTTAACAGTTGAAAATGTTGTTAATAAATATGCGTTTTTAACGAGATCGAAAAGACAGGGATTTATATTAGGAAGAAAGATAAGGTGTATACTATTTTATCATGGCTTCGAACTCCAATCTTAAATACGAAACGATAGAAATTTAACTGCTATTAAATAACATTATGATAACGCATATAAAATACATTATCAGACCATTAAAAAAGAAAAGTTATTACTATATATATATTTTGGTCTCATACACACGAAAAAACATATGGTCGAGTGCACTTTTAAGAAAAAAAAAACAGAATCCTATAGATAATAATGAAATAAATGTTAAAAGTCTGTTTTATTGAAATAGTTGTACAAACGTTTTGTAAACACGATTGTGATTATCAGTCGAAGCTAAGAATAAATCTTATATATATATATTCACCTAATGTATCTTTTGCCTGTTGAAAAACGTGTACTTACATGTACTGTATATTTTTTATTGATAGAAAATCATAGTAATATTGTATATCGAGATAATCATTACTTATCAAAATTATGAATACCTGGCCTTATAATAAACATATAATGCTTATAGAAATTGTTCTCAATGATTGCTTGTAAAATAAAACTAATTAATAAGGATTAAAAATTTACACTGCCACATAAATTTAGACGAATTAGAATGACCATTTTTTTGTAGTTAAATAAAATAAATCTAAAATAAAGTTAAAACTAGTAAAGTTAATAATAGTATATAGAAAATAGGAAAGATAATTCTTAATCACTATTATATATATGTGTTTGTATATACTTGCAATAAAAATGAAAAATGCTACAGGTGGGAGATGGCCAATAGATGATATACAGTTAGATGCAGGAAATTCAAGTAAACATATCGCTATTGTATATGACGAAAGCAACAAGTAGTAAGAGAAAGAAGAGGGGGGTGGAAAGGAGAGAGGGGAGATCACTGTAATAACGGTATTTATTTTAACCGCGCTTTTGTAACCATCAATCGAATCCAAATAGTACACCTAATTGTCAAGAAAATATTAAACGAATTATTTATTGCTTTAATAATAAAAACGTAAGCAAACTAATATTCCACTCGTAATCTTTCCTTTATATATTAGACGCATATAAAACTCTAACGAGTGATTTAACGAACAAAACCATCTTACGTGATTAATATCCAGATTCTACATTCTGACAAAAAACAGTTTTCTGATTGGAACAGTTTTTTTTTAGAAAATATATATTAATCGATGAAGAAAAAAATAAAGTAGGCGATCAATTGGATAGATAATATAGTACTACGTGACTTGTATATATATATATATACACTAATATAGAAAGTGCATATGTACGTAACTGTCTAGTATACGAGGAAATAAATAAAAAATAAATTCACACGAAAGATATATATAGATAAGGAAAGTTGTAGATATTATTTTATTATTCTTTTTCTTATAGTGTTGAAAATGAATACAAGGAATAAAAAGATTTTTATGTTGATCGAGATTATAGAATAAAATCGATACATATGTGTCGATCGATTCGAAAAGAATCGCGGGAATAGCGACAGTTGAGAAGGCGCGAAGATTCGAGGAGAGCGCGGGAAACTAGTGGTGGGGATAAGCCCTGGGAATTGATTGGCCGTGAATGTGGCGGCGCGGAGGGGCATCGACCGGTCTGGCATCGGGCTGCCGTCGTACTGGCAGGTCCCCTCGTTCAGTGCCACCAATACACAAGAGCCAAGTAACTCTCTATCGCCGACCATTGGTCCTCAATTTGCCGACCAATCATTGGGAAAGTGCTTACGAAAAGATCCAATGTAAGTCCACAAATTATCAAACATCAACGGGGTAGACGTACGCTCGCGCGTGGACCTTTCCTTCTTCGCGATTTTCTCTCCTATCACCTCAAAATCGTCCTCTCGCCTGCTAACGACGCTCGAAATGCCGTTCCGCACGGCCATGTTTGCCGTGAGAAACGTTTCACCGACTAAATCTATCGTCTACCATGCCATCGTATTTGAGATACGTTTTCTTCGACGTCTCCTTCGACCTCCTTAGAAAAATCAACTCTACCAATGTCCGGATCACGCCCCCGAGTTTAGTGCTTTTCGAAATAAGTTTAACTACGAGGTAGACTCTTCCTTTACGATTATTTGCGATAGCATCGGTGAAAACGCCAAGACTCGTGCAAGGTCTTTCGAGTAACATACACGACGACGTAGCCCTCGATTACCGTCTGCCCTCGAGTATTTCTCTCTCTTTTTCTCTTTCACGTACGACACACACACACACACACACACACAGAGACTCACGCGTTCTCTTTCGCTCGCTCGTTAACTCCCTCACTCTTGCATTCTATTGCGCTCTTTCTCTCCTTCTTCGTAGCTACCTCCTCTTCCTTTCTCTCTCTCTCTCTCTCTCCAACTCTCTCTTTCTCTCCATCTCTCTCTCTTTCTTTTTCTCTCTTCTGTACCATGCACCTCGTGCCTATCTCTCAACCCGCACGTGGGTTCAATCTGGACTGCATACATGTACGCCACGTTGGCGTTTCAAAACATCGCTAATGATGATAATGATTAATAGCATCAATTAATGATATATTTCAACTATGATTTTCCCAAATGAGAAACTACAAGAGGGAGCGAATAAAATGTACTTTCTTTTAAGTACGTTCTCATTTTTATACTTTCTATCACTCTTTAGATTGGATATATTTGTTAAATTATTCATAGTCAAATTCTTTCTCTTGAAATATGGTAATGTTAAGATTTTCAAAGATGCTTAGGCAACTTTACAGCCTCTCCTCCTTCTTGTATCAAGTTCATGATGATCATACCAAATTTTTGTTATCAGTGAAAATTCGCAATGGAGCAACTAGGAGAAGGACAAGCGGTTGTTGTTGGGAGCACTGGTGGAACGGTACAAGTTGTTCAAATGGGACAAGGAGGCCAAGCTATGATGTTACCTCAAGCTATACAAGCTATACAAGCTCCTAATGGACAGATTCAAGTTGTTCCAGTTTCAAGTCTCACTAACACAGGTCAACAAATTGTTATACAACAACCACAAACGCCTCAAATTATTCAAACTCCTGATGGGCAGACTTATATTTATCAACCCGTTCAAATAGAAGGCCAAGTTCAACAGGCTCAACCTACTGGTAAATATAACAAATATTCTTATAATATTTTTCATTCTAATGGAATCTCAAAGCGAATTTTATTTTTCAGTCATAAACATCAATGGAAATCTTATGCAAATAGCTGGCACTACTTCACAAACTACAACTACAGCTGCGACAACAGCACCTGTTCAACCATTAGCCAGCCCTACAGCAACAGCATCGCAAGCAGGAAATGTTGTTATGGTAATTTGTTGTTTATCCTCTTTGATGATAATTTGATTAAAATTCATTTACTTTAAGTGCAACATTAAAACATGTTTTTCTTCTTTAATATCAGATGGTACCAGGAAATAGTGGACAAACTCAATTTCAAAGAGTAGCATTACCAAATGCAGAATTCCTGGAAGAAGAACCTTTATACGTGAATGCTAAACAATACAGACGTATATTAAAAAGACGTCAGGCACGAGCCAAATTAGAAGCAGAAGGAAAAATTCCAAAAGAAAGACCAGTATGTATTCCATTCTATTCTACTTCCTTATATTTTTATATCAATTTTCATATATCACATCTTCATTTTCAATATGCACCTATAAGTTTCTTATGCTAGAAATATTTTTTTATAGAAATATCTCCATGAGTCTCGTCATCAACATGCAATGAAAAGAATTCGTGGAGAAGGTGGTCGTTTTCATTCGGGTCAAGTGAAGAAACGGAAGTAAGTGCTTGTGCATCGTAAATTTGAACTTACATCTCTCTTCTATGAAATATATAGTGTCGGATTATGCATACAAGAGAGTAATGGTTCCGGTAAAGTGAATGTAAAATTGCATTGCAAATTATCTAGTTGAATCAACACCAAATTCTGTTGGTTACTAGAATAATAGAAGGTTGTAAAATATTATGGTAAAAAACTTGATAATTCAAAACTAGTGTCATCGGAGTATAAACTATAGAAACGTGCATTCTCCTTGTATACATTTCAATATCAAATGTGAAATTAATGAAGAAAATACTATTTGGAGTATTGTGCGTGTGTATAAAAAGTTCGAAGAGATATTTCAGCGTTTATTACTTATTACTTTTTCTATGATATGTAATCGTAATCGATGGAAGAAAGTCTGACTTAATTGAAAGATAGATAAATCGTAGAGATGCACCAATCTCTCTAACAGTCTACCTACTGTAGATATTTATTTAAAAGGAGACTGTGTAAGAGAGAGATGTGTTTAAAAGGAGGACTGAAAAGAATCAAACGTATGGGTAGTAATGAAATTGAATTCATATATGTACGTATTCGTAACTAACAATAAGTACGAACTTCGAACATATATGTCTACTTTTGTAAATAAATACCTTTCTTATTCTCTCTCTTTCTCTCTTTCTTTTAACACGATGAAAAGTCGGATAAAAACTTCGCTATTTCGTTAAAATTTGTAAATACTAATAAAAAAGAACACAAAGGCAAAACTATATATACAGTAATATTATATGATTGTCTGTAATATTTTTCTAGCACTTATTTGCCGTGCATATCGAATGTGAGCTTTGTAAATTATGGTTAAATATTGGATTATGTTAGAAATGATATTACGATTACGATATACGATACATATACAAGATTGATACAATTAATTATTAATGATATTACATTCATTGTAATTCATGTGATATACAATTATTTGAGAAATTGATTGTGATCGTATATCGTATCGACATCATCGATCGAGAGACTGAATTAATAATTTATTACACATCACACGTTGGATACCATTACTTTTTGATTTTAAAAATATCATTATTCGACACATTTATTTACTTTTTTTGTTAATTCAAAATAACTATTTGTATATATACTTTCAAGTGCAAGTACAATTAAATTTAGATTATTTGTAAAGCTTTATGAAACTCGGTTATATATTATTATATGTTGAGTTTAAAGATAGAAAAGGAATAAAAGAAAAGAGAAAAGAAAAATAATGGATTATTTATACATAGTGGCTTATTTATACATTTATGTATACGTGATGATATACATAAACATGTATATACAAATATAATATTGATTTTTAAATAATTAATTCAATATTTTTGCCCAAATCATGAAAGATTTAACGTATAACATCTTATTAAACTAAGGAATAGTCAAATTATATCATGAATTCATTGTAATGATACATTTTGAAGCTTTCTTTTTAAGATCAATTGACTTGTGAATTTGATATTTTTTATTAGCAATGATAACTTTATTTTAAAGAGATAAATTTAATGTAAATCAATTATTTTCTTTTCTTGTTCTTTTTATGTGATTCAAGTCGATGATCTTAATAGTAACTTCAAAACCAGATATCACGAATACTTTCTGAGTGATTTAGATAAATTTAGATTAAAGGATAGAATATAGAAATAATGTTAACGCGTTTTTATTGTAATGCTAGCAAGAAGCCATGGTAAGATCAATCATTTTTAAATTGTTCCTTTACATTTAAATCTGAATCATTTCTATAAATTTAATCAATATGTAAATTGTGATCTTTGCCATGTCAATTTACTAGCAATGGAGCGTAGTTTTATTGACTGTTTCATTTTTTACGGAAAATATCGATTCATTGTGTTCTACACTACGATGTTTGTGATTCAACGATCGATCATTAATCCTTAACCCTACATTGTACTTGTACATTTGAAAAAACAAACAAAAAAATTAATTTTACCTATATTTAGAATTAAAAATCAAAATATATTTGAAGGTAACGCTACATTTTTGGAAGTTAAAATAATAGAACACTCTGATTTTTTACTAGAATCATTCTTTGTATTCAATATGGCGGACGCCTCGATCGGTAACGATGGGCCGAAAGTTTTTTCTTTCATAATCAAAATTCCTGTTTTACCGATCGCATCTTCGTATTCAGATTTTCCAGTTCTAAAAATAAAATACGAAACAAAAAAATAAAGAATTTTTCTATAGTAAACATTTTTGTTTTCTCTTAAGATATAAGAAAACAATATAAAATAATCAAATATTTTCTCAATACGAATGATAATATATACTTGACACGAAGAATCTCGCGTTCTTTTGGATTAGGATCGAGATTATTTGTAGGTTTTTCCTTGACCTTGACAAGTAATAAGTCCTTTCTAATCATTTTCCAAGGATCTCGAAAAGAACGTTTTTGTACGGTTTCTGGTATGACCCAGTTGTCTGGTAAAGTTGCTCGTTTTATATGTGTTCCTAACTTTTGATCACGTAAGGATACAAAATCGTCTGTCCAAATTCAAACAGTAATCAATATGATATATTATTCAGTCAAATTCTATTAATTCTAATTATTTTCTATTTATTATACTAGCCAAGATGCTTAAAATAATCCATTTGATAAACAGTTCGATTCAATTTCTTATTTTCTCGTTTGAAAAGTTCTTCATTCAAAGAAGATTCAAGAATAAATTTCTTCAAATGTGGAAATTTGTCATGCACCTATACGATTAATTAATTAATTTAATAATTTTTTAATATTCATTTTCTATGTGTAAGTATGAGCGAATGATTAAAACAATCCGATCAATTTGTTTCACCCTATTCATATAACTTCGTGGATCTTCCGTTCGTTTCTCCAAAGGTAAGATTTCATTTAGGTAACTTGTATTCAAATGATATTTATACGGTCCATTTAATATATTCAAGGGTCTTGGATAATGCAGTTTTGGTTCGTACTTGACCGATTTTTTCGCAATCCTTGAAGGATAATCTATTTTATATCGCGTAAGAAAGTCTCTGGATTCATCCATTGTTTCGAAAATCATTTTGTTATTTTTTATTTAAGGTTATATTAAAATAAAATGTAAAGAGCTTGTAGGTACTAAAATATTCTTTGAACAAATTTATCAAGATTTCTCTTTAACAACAAAAATATCACTACTTATTTTGTGTTTTTCTTTTTATATAGTTATTTAAAATTATATTCGAAGAAATATTATATATAATCGATTTAAATAAGAAACTAGAAGGGTTGAAGTTTTTGAGATGTATATAAATATCAATTACAGTATAACTATGAAAGCAGAGAATACAGAAGTACATAAAAGCTCACCAGTTTTTTTTGTTTATCTATTCAGATTCAGCATTACTCAGATAGACCACTAGTGGGTTCAGTAGTAACTAAGATGAATCTGAGTGATGAAAATAAACTATATTATTCTACTGTCGATAATATCGATAATGTACCAATTTGGTGCCAGTCAATAATGAACTGTTTTACCATTCGGATATTAGATAATGTATACAATGCTATATAATATTTAATTACAAGTTTATACACCTGGAAATTATTAATCATGTATGGAGTGTTGTCTAATCGCAGGGGCCTTAACTAAAACATTTTATTATAAAAATAAAGTACACTCGTATATAACACAAACAAAAATTAATTTTAATTAGATTTATTATAAACAAATATTTACAAAATCTCTTTAATATTAGTAGTATGTAATGGTTAATATTATGATGTAATGATTAGTGGTATGTAGGTTTATTCTCATAATGATTTAGAAATAACGAGTTGACGTATCAAAATTTGACATAACAAATGTGTTAACGCGAAAAAGAAAACAGTTCTCGATGAGTGACAAGCAGTACTTCCCCAAAGATTTTTTATCGTAACTTTTTTCTTACAACGAAAATCATGATCGATTCGATTAACAAAAAAAAGAGACGATAAAAAAGAAATAAATAGACATGATGTAACCGTTGACAAGAGTCACGTCTATAAAGGAGAAATTTGAGGTCTTATCCTAATTGGCGTTTATGGTACACAGGGGTGCCATGCTTCATATCGTTTATGTGTTATCACTATAATGAGCCACCGGAAACTCTAGATTCATTAGCTGTTTGCTAAAGGACCTTTGCTTGGCAATACTAAATTAATATTATTTTCTTTTTTGTATACATCCTACAATATATATATATATATATATATATATATATATATTTTCTACTTTATAATTAATTTCATTGGTTTCTCTCTGATGTAAGTGTTAAATGAGTTTGAAAGGAAGAGAATTTTGAAGAGTTTAAACTTCTTTTCCTATTGTTTACGAAAGAAGGAAGGTAACGTTGTTGGAATAACAAAACCACCTTCAACACCCCCATACGCATTTTCGAATAATATTCGTGAACGTTTAGAATACTAATACGAAGATGTAAAGGGGGTTAGAGAAAGAGAACAAACATCGTTGTGCAGTTAGCCGCGTCTAATTATTAATTAGCTTGTCGTAGTTCTCTCGGAAAATTTAATTAAATTGACGAGCAGATCGAATCAAGGAAAACGATGTGATTGATGTGACATCGAGTAAGGGGGTTGGGATCAGAGAGTAGGAAGATACGTACCCAAACCCCCGTTCATTTTTTTTTTTCCACTTTCGATTATAGAATCTCTTTAATCTCGAATCGAAACTCGACACACGTTGTGTAGTAATTTATAGAAGCAATAATAAATCAGTTGTAAAACTAACGTCACAGAGTAAGAAGAGATACTCTCTCTCTCTCTCTCTCTCTCTCTCTCTATTTCTCTCTAGGAGTTATTTTTAAGAATATAACCGTTGACATTTTCGATCAGTTCTTTTGCTTGATTATCAAGGTGTTATATAGTATGCTAAAGTATATTATATTAWATAATAATAATAATAATAATAATAATAATAATAATAATAATAATAATAATAATAAATAGAAATATACATAATATATATATATATTGTACAATATTATAGAATAAAAAAAAAAGGAAAAAGTAGATGAAATGGATTATTCGAAAAAATAATGAAAAGAATTAAATGGCAGGGAAATTTTGATCGATCCAATATGAGAGTTGATTCAAAGTGGAATAGGTAAACGTGAGAAAGTCAGACATGTAAGGAGGTTCCATTGGAAAGAAGATATCACGATCGAATTACGGCCACCGGAACAAGGAGGAGATGATCGTCTGCAAGAAGAAAGAATATCCTTCGATAAGGATATAGACGACACATGGATAGAATGATTGATAGTACGCGTTTCGTTTCTTCGAATGACGTCAGCGAGAACGAGAAAGAGAGAGAGAGAGAAAGAGAGAGGGGTATTTCTACGGGCACTATTTCACCCTCCATTTCAAGAAGAAGCGCGCAAGGGAGCGTATCAAGGGCGTTCCTTCTCTCATCCTCCCTGATGGACCTTCTGAACCGAGCAAGATAACGCGAACTCTTTTCTCTTTCCTATCCTATCTTTTATCTTTGTCTTTCGAAACGTTTATTCACGCGGAAAGTCAATGACTAAAAAGTTACCATAGAAAAGTTACCCCAAGGATTCCAATATTATTTTCTTTTTCTTTTTTTTAATCAAAACTAACCAAATTCCATGTTTTGATCTATTTTTATTTTTTTTATCTACTACATATCTATATTCTTTTACACGCAATATTATATATTATATAGTATATATTAAAGGAGTAAAAAATATTTATTTCACATAACCGTTATCTAATACACATATATATATTATACAATATATATATATATATATTGTTTAATTCAATGATAACAATTTATATTTAATATGCATATAAACATATACATACATACCTGAAATATTAAAATTTCATTCAGCCACGTTAACATTCTTACTAAAAGTATATAAACAGTCTGACTTTTCAAAGGAAATATTTTTATTGTCAATAATTCGAAGAATAGATTGATAAAAGGAGATCGAAGGTATTCAAAAATGACACAGTCAGTCTTCTTCGAAGGCCGAGAAATATAATAACGATATTATAGAAAAGAATCAAATTTATTTTTCGCGTATACGTGTGTGTGCGTGTTTCGTTTTTATGCAAATTATATTCATATATGCACGAGTGTGTATATTGCTAGCAAGTGATATACATTTATATACATACGTGTATACATTAACATCATATACAAGACGAAATACATCTATACACGATTAATTATCGAAATATTAATTAGAGAAAGGATATAAAATATTGTATCTAATATAAATGAGAAGAATAAATTTCTATATATATATAAAATTAATATTAAACCCATCTTTTTGATCACATTAACATACGAAACTTGAAAATAGTCAGAAATTCGAAATAATTTGTTTTTCATTGATGTGATAGATCAAGTTTAAATTTGAATTTGATTTATTTCAAATATATCATCCTTTTTTGAAATGTAATATCCTTTCTTAACGTGACGTTATTGTGTGATACATATTTGGATTTTGTCAGTATATCGGGAGCTGTTATTCATTCAAACGTTTATATATATATATAACATATAATAGACTCGTGTCAGCAATCGTTTCAATGTGACGTATAGAAGAGGCCTATGGAAAAATAACCTACGCCTACTCCTTTAGTATTCAAATGAGCACTACTAATTCTATTTTAATACACAAATATGAATATAATAACCTGATTACTATAATAATATAAAAGGGAATGAATGAAAAATAATGATAATATACATATATATTTTTCGAAATTATAATAAAAAAATATGATAACAAATTATCCATGATATTTTAATACAAATCATTGACAAGTAATTACAATGGACACATATATAATATTTTATAATATTTTGTTTCATTAATCATTCTGTAATATAAATGATATCATTCTCAATTATTATTTTTGTTTTCACCATCGTCAAACAATTTTGATACCAGTTGTCTCGTATTGCTAAATATATACACATTAATACATTTAAACATTTGTCTAATTAGAACAAAAATTGTCAAACCAAATGAACATTCGAATTTCAAGGGGAAAAGAAATAAAGAAGATAACAAAAAAAAACTGTATAGAAATCTACATGATATCGAAAGAGAAAAAAAATAAAAAGAAAAATATCGCGGGATAGAGGAATTCGATAAGATATTTTATATCGAAAAAGTGTTTTTTTTTTTATTTATATGGATGAAAAGGGGAGACAAGTATGAGACGTGGGTAAGACGAGGCTGAGAGTTTCCTTGTAAATGGAGACCAATCGTGGTGAAACCGGTGTAAAAGAAAAAAAAAAGAATGCCGCAATGTCTGATATCCTGAATTTCGCTCTCTACTTCCTACGATCTTCGGTTCGTGGGGGCGCAATCGCCACGCCTCCCCGTCTCGTCTATATAAGCTTCCTCTACGCAGAGAAATTCTCATTCGCATCCCGAGCACCCTCGAGTACACGAGCTTGACCCTCGGTATCCTTTTTTTTGTCCATCTATCCATAGATAAAGAGAGAGAGAGAGACAGAATATTACTAAGTAAATCAGTTATTTTAACGAGTTGTTTACAAGATCTTCGTTAAACTTTTCATCCCCCTTATACTTTTTCTCTATCTCTCAAGGAAAAAGAAATATTATATAAGGGAGAATCATAACTCTTGGAGATATAATAATAATAAGAAGAAAGTAAGAACTAAAGATAAAAGAAGAAAAATGAAGTTCTCTTCAGTGTTGTTATTTTGCTGTTTCGTCGTCCTGGCCGAAAGGAGCCTTGCCAGTCCTTATTTTGATGAAGGTTAGTGTAATAACTATAATTAATATTTCTTTTTTATATATATATTTTTACCTTATAATGTGTGTGTATTTTTTTTATACTTAAATTCATTTTATTTTCATTAAGTTTGATTTCAATGTCTATGGGGGATATAGGAGATTTTGTTGTTTATTTATTTAGATGAATTTTTATTATATTCGATAGATGAAATATTCATTGATTATATAGAAAATAATAATTGGATTTATTATATATTCGATATCTTTATTTTTCATTCGTTTTGTATTATTTAAAGTAACACGATACCGCGTATGGTCAGCCATTCATTATATCAATGTTTCTTTATAAACGTTAATTAGTTAGTTAACGAACAAATAAAATAAACAATGTAATAGTCAAATATAATTGTAAGGGTGGGATTTCTTAAGCATAACTAATCCCAATTGTAAGTTTTAAAGTTCGATTCTAATTTATTTAAACGATGCACGGTTTCATTGACACATCCTTGTTAAATTTTTTTTATTTTCCTCTTTTATATACTCGAGTCTTATTTTTCTTTTTTTCTTCCACATACTCACGCATAAACACCATGGACGAATACTATCCTATAAACGCTTAGACAACCCTTACAAAGAAAAAAATAAAGAGCGATAGGTTTTCACACAAGTCTCTTACAGCAATTAAATTTATTATTCTCTTTTGAAGATTAATTTTTTGAAAATGATTATATAAAAGAACAATTTAATCAGCCTTTCTCTCTAATAATTCATTGTTCTCGCTAATTTGAAGTAGAGAACGATTATACGATTTGGTCGGACAGGTATTGTTTTATTTATTTATCGACATAATATGTACGGAAAAATAATCATTTCAATTTGAAAGGTTATTGAAATGAATTTTAAGGACGTTTGATGGCTACATCATATTCAACAACATTTTGTTATTAATTAATTAACGCTCGTACGTGTTTTTATCGATTCGAAGTAGTACAACGAGTAATATTGTCAGACACATCTATTCGCGTTCACACATTTATCGAAATAATTCATTATACAAAAGAATAGAAAAATAATGATATCAATTTAAATATATTGTACAACGTTTAAACAAACGCTTTGACTTCTTTCGAATGGTATATTTATTTAATAAATTTGACGTTTGATAATAAATATATTTTGTTGATTCGCGTTTAGTAGTAAAAGAGAGAATATCGTCGGACCCTGTTACGGAATTTTCAATGAAATTCTTAAAAGACCTTAAATGATCGTAACGAGAGTTAACGTAAACTTAATTTGCATTAGCTCCTTTAGACGTAGATCCCAATTTAATTGTTCAACCTGTCCCATCTTTGTCCCTTGTCAATTTTCATTTATGTAACATTCTCGTGAAAGCAAAATAAAGTAAATTTCCGAAGGAACAAACAGCCCGCATATAATACATATGTAAGAGTTCATTCGATCAATTTTAATCTCGAAGAAGCGATCGACATTTCAATTAAAACAACATTTTAAACGATCGATGATTTTAAAAGGCTTCTTCCAATTGATTTCATTTTCTTAATTATATCAAATTATTTTCACATTGCTATTCTTTCATTTTTTTTAATCCTAAGCAATGATATCAAAAAGATAAAAGATTTCGGGGGATAGAATTTTGGAACCTTTTTATTTATTTTGTTTTCCATCTAATCGAAATCGATATCATCATTTGTTTTTTGTTTTTTTTTTTATCGACTGTGAGATACACTTTGTTGCACACTCGATTCAATTCATTGTCAGTGTGTGAGAGTATTAAATTGACCTTTATTGAGTAGATAAAAAAAGGATAGAAGAAGCATCAGAGAGTATTGTGTTTGCAAACTTTGCAAGTTTCAAACTTATATCCGTGGAGATTCTTTTTATCTAACAACAACATATTTTTCTTACAATTGGTAGTTTTTACATTTATTACTTTATTGATCCATGACAAGAGAGAAAGAGAGAGAGAGAGAGAGATTAATATTATTTATTTATTTATTTATTCAATTCAAACATATCTGAAACTTTGAACGACTTTGAAATTCTTTCACATATGTATCTTTGACCTTTTCTTCCATTATGGGAATGAAAAGAGAACAATGTGCAAGAAAGGATAATATTCTTACGTAATATATATCATCAGAGGGTATTACCATTAGCAATGCATTATAATTACTATTTTTCTTTTCTTTTCTTTTCTTTTCTTTTCTTGTTTTCTTAACTTTAATACGAATGAAATCTAATAACGACGATGTTAATTTTACTGAAGTAAACTCAACACGTGCGTGGGACGATTATGTAGGCGAAAATACCTGGCTGCCCTTTACCTTACCTTTACTTTTTACTAAATTTTACTATTACACATATGTACATATATTTTCAATGAAAAAGAGAATTCTGATTTGAAAAAATAAAAAAATATACTTGATTTTGCATGAAGGAGAGAGAGAGAGAGAGAGAGAGAAAAGAGAAGGTTTCTAAATTAAAAGTTTAAAAATAAATGTAAAAAATTGTAGAAATCAGTTTATTGACGAAACACTAGACAACAAACACATTGATACAAAAATTCATAATTATATTATATTTATTTATTTTTTTTTAATTTTATATTTGTGTGTTAAATAGTTTTACATTTGTAAAGTTTCTTGTTTTTTTTTTTTATATTGCGAAAGTAATTATATTTTAGTTTTTTTTTTATTTAAAAAATGTTATTTTATTATTGTTATCGGAGTAGAAAAGTTTTTGTATTCAGAACAAATTTTAGGAATTATTTCAAATAATAATCATTTCGAGCACGAAATATATGAAGCTTATATATATATATATATATATATTCATATATTTGAAGTTTATCCGTGCTCCAAATAAACAAGATTTTCCATGAGTAATAGTACACATAGAATCAGTACATAAATATAGTATAATACTAACTGAACGAAATATGACTAAACTTTAGCGACGGCTATTTTCCCATAGAATATATTACACCGTATGATTTCGAAGATGTTTCAACAATATTTTCACACGAACATAGAAAATTCTTCTTTCGAAATTGTCTTGTCTTGTCGAAATATGTATGAACAAATAATAAGAGACGTTGATCAACAATTTTAATTGATATTAAATAAAATAAATTCCTTTTGAAAATCTCTTTTTTTAATTAAAATTCTTTCGGTTGACAATATAATGATGGATTTTATTACGAAAATATTTCTCTCAAACTTTAATGGAAAATCTTTTTTATTTTTTTTATTTTTTTCCACAAATCAAAAACGAATACTAATTGGTTCAACGGAGTTGAAAGTTTTAATTGAAAAATTTGTTACTTAAAAGATAATAAATTGTCGTTTTTTCTATTCGATTCTTGTAATTTTTTTTTTTTTCTAAATCTCGTATAAAATCTTTAATAATGATTTGACGAAAAGAGAGAACAAAACTAGTTCAATTTTTATTAAATCACATGCGCGTAAAATGGAAATATATTAAAAAGATGATAAAGAGCAAGAATGGAAAGTGCAAAAAGGATTTCGAAATTTCCACCGCGAAATCGTAAAATCGTAGCGAGTTGTGGGTGCTCGTTGAAAGAGAGGAAACGAGCAAGGATATTTCTCTGGATTACCTTCATACCAAAGTTCGTTTAATAAGAATGTAGGTGAATACGAAAATGTCAAGAGAACAAGAAAAAGATACAGAACAAATTCTTTTATTTTTCCATTTTCTTTTCGAACGAAAAGAAATTATTTATGTGAAAAATAATACAATTTTGTATTTTTTATTTTTCAATTGATAGGATAGATCAAAAAAGTTTCAAGATAATTTTCAAAATGATTAACACTTTCTTGGGACAGTTTTTCTTATCTTCAAATTGTTAACAAATAAAATTCAATATTCCTCTAATTTTAAACGGCAATATAAAGTCAGATTTGTTGATAATAATTTATAATCAAGAAAGGATATTTTTTGTGAATAATCAAACAAGAATTTATTTTATTTTACCATATATATTATAACGAAGAATGTTCACGTTACATAACTTTATGTGACCATTATTTGAAATATTTTTAACGTGGAATAACAACTAATTAAAACGTTCACTTGCTTACGAATTGTTGAATTGTAAACATTGTTTGAAAGAAATCAAAATTACACAATTTCGTAGCCAATAATTCAAAGAGAAATTCATTTTATAATCAATAAAATATTATTTAATATATATAAAACAATCATAATTAGAATAAAGTAAAATGTTTTCATTAGTATATCAAAAAATCCTTTATAAAGTCTTAGCATAGACAAGTATCCTTATTTACGTATATTATTCCTTGTCTGTTCACGAACTGGAAAATAGGAAAGTCTTTTTACCGTCGAGTTATTTTCGAATAAATGCATTCACATTACATCATTTTATGCATATATCATTAAATGCATCTGTTCGACGATAATAAACACAACGATAAAAATCTAATTTCAAAAAAAATATAAAGCGAAGGTAATTATAATATTTCAAATAAATAAACAATGTATATGCGGGCTGATGATTTTTTGTTCAATCTTTTTTTTTTTCCTTTTTTTTTTTTTTTATATAATAATTGTTTACGTAAGAGCGTATAATAAAAATAAACGTTGACAATTTATTTATAACCATATGAGTCTTTCGTGCCATTCTATTTTTATTTCAATGGCCCTTATTAAAGTACTATCTAGATTCTTATATACTATAATATAAGAATAGAAAGTCCTCCTCCTATCGATATCATCAACAATATCGACTAACTGTTTGATTGAGAGTACCTCTCTCAAATAACTTACCTAATGCATTGACTATGATCTTGTGTACACGTATAATAAAATATATGTATCTTATATCGATTACTATACATACATTTTTATATAATACGTGTACACATAATTATATATAATATATTTTTGATTATCCATGAAAATGTATTTGTACAATATATTAATCGATATACGATTTGCATTAGACTTTATTTTATAATTAAACATTTTTCAAAATTAATATAATATAAATTTATATAATATCATTATCGAACATGTGTTTGTTTTTTTTCAATTGTAGACTCACTCGCTTTAGTACCGGAAGAAGATTCTTTGCAGGTGGTAGACTCGGATTATACAGATAATTCTTTAGACAATTTCATGCGAGCTGTTCAACAAAAGTGAGTATCTTGCCAACCCCTTTCTAAACCGTTTATTTCTAATCATTATCCTGTGAATTATTACTTTTATTTTTAGGAATGTTTAATATGTTTCGTTTGTTGTTTAATATATTTCTTTTCTTCATAATTGTACCCATAATTATAAAAGTGATCTAAGTCAAAATTAAAACAAAACACAAAAAAAAATCACTTTATCACTTATTTTACGTTACATTATATTAAATTAACAATAAATTAATTCAATGTAATTTTTTCACACAAAACAAAAAAATTAACCGTTAGATATTTAGATTATTTCAATATATAATATTAAATTCATTTATTGTTAGTACACTTTCTTCATAATTATGGTCACAATTGTTATCGTTATAAGCTTTTTTATTTGCAAAATTTTCTTTATATTACAAAAGAGAGAAATATTAATTTTACTTACAATGAGAGATGCTATTTTGTTCGTTCGTTCGTTGTTGTTTTTTTCTCTCCTCTGTATGTGTATCGATATAAAAAAAAAAGAATCTCACGAAACTTCTAATCTCGAGTAGGCGTTCCTCTTTGATTCACCTATTTAGACGTGCCTGCGTAAGACGCGGTGGCAACTGTGATCACCGACCAAGGGATTGTTGCTATAGCTCGAGTTGTCGGTGCAATCTATGGGGTTCCAACTGTCAGTGTCAACGGATGGGTCTCTTCCAAAAATGGGGTTAAACTGGACAATCGATGGTGACCAGTTTCTTAATATCATCTTACCAAAACCTATATTACTATATTTTCGTTTCCTTTTACATTGTGCAGCCTAAATACCCCCCCTCCCCTCCCCTCCCCCTTCCACTATACGATATCCTTCGAAAAACGACAACAAAAAAGTGGAGGAAAAAAATTATAATAATATAATGATAATAATAATAATAAAATAATAATAATAATAATAATAATAATAATGATAATGTTAATGATAATTAATAATTTAAAATGTAAAACACAAATTGATAAAGCATACTATACGCGAGCGTGGTCCATTAATTTGACGTTCGAAAACTATATTTTATTATTTATTACTATAACTAGAACTATATTTTATTATCTATATTTTATTATTTATTTCATTTGTATCAGATTTATATATATATATATTTCTATTATATGATTATTATTGTATACTATATATATATTTAATTTGATCCTAGTCATTTTCAATTCTAATTTCTAATCATTATTTATATTTTTTTTTTTTGTCAATCTTTCATTCCGATAGGAATAAAAGCAAGATAAACTATGATAGATAATGTTTTTAATTGTTTTTTTTTTTAAATAACGTCGTAGTAGGTTATATGTATTATCCCGATAAACTACCTCGTCTTCAATTTTTGACATAATTTTTGTCTTCTATCTCCTCGTTCCTTTTTTTCCTGACGATGTTTCATACCTCACGGCTAACCAACATACGCCACAATAAATCTTGGCAAAAAGAATCAGAGGATACTGAATGAATTCAACGAAACTACGATGGAATTTCAATACGTGGTGCGATATCATCATCCCATGGAAGATAACGAGATAACAACGATCATCTTGACAACATAATAAGAACAATATCATGATTTATGTGCGCGCGCGCTTTTATATTAATTTGCTAATTTTTGTTCATCGTATGGTTCTCTTAAAAAAAAAAAAACAAAAATATATATATATATATACACATATATATAGAAAAATATTCTATCGAGTGGATTAATTATACGAGAGCGAATTATTGTAAAGCAAGATCGTTTTGAATATTATAATATATATATATATATATATATATATGTGTATAAGGTGCTTAAAAAACTATACCAATTTTTGTTAACTTTGTCTAATTTTGTTTCTTATCTATTTCGATAACATATATTCTCGCGGCCTAATGATTCTTCTAATTTTTTTTTTTCACGAGCAACGACAGACACTGAATATAATATAAAAAAATATATATATATATATATGCATCTCAATACATAAATATAAATTCGACAAATTTTTGTTCTCTTTATTTCTTTTTTTTTTTCTAACAATT